CCCTCTTGCCTAAATCTGCTTGGTCCTGCGCCTGATGCAGGCATATCTAAGCATGCTGTGCATTTCTAAACCTTAACACCAGCAAACACATATTTTTACACATCCTAACACTCTAACATGTGTTTGTTTAGAGACACGGGTCTTATTCCTTTTTTTCCCTACCTTCATCCCGGATATATAACACGTGAGGCACCTGTAGACAGCTCTGCCCTCTGACGGGGGTGGGGGGTGTCTAGAGGGGGAAGGGGTGGCTCAGTGATGAAGGCCTGAACCCTCACACACACAGGTGTTTGACAATGACATCTCCTACATCGAGGGTGGGACAGCCAGCGGCTTCTACACTGTGGAGGACACACACTATGTCACCAGGTGAGGGGGTGTGGGCGTGGCTGGCGCTGGGCTGCACTCCGGTGGGAAGGATGGGGCGAGAGGGTGTTAGGGCTGAATCGGCCCGTTTGTGCCCCTCCCTGCCCCCCTCCCCAGTCACTCTTGCTCTGGCCCCCAGGATGTACCGCGTGTATGGGAAAAAGAATATCAAGTTGGAGACCGTGCCTCTCAAGGGGTCCTCTCTGGACCCAAGGTAGGCCCCCGTGCCTCCAGGGGGAGTACTTGAGCCCACACTCCCTCCCATTAGTGGGGAGCAGTTTTGGGTTCTAGGAAAAAAAAGACCTTCAGAAACCCTTTTAACCCCTGTCTCATTGAGCTTGGCAGGACTAGTAAGGCGTGAAACCCCATAACGAGGGATTTGGGGCAGGGCCAAGGGCATGAGGGCAGTCGCTGTCCCTGTTCATCACTGCTCCTCCTGCCCAGGTTTGTTTTCCTCCTGGATCGAGGGCTGGACATTTACGTGTGGCGGGGGACCCAGGCCACACTGAGTAGCACTACCAAGGCCAGGTATGAGGACACGGTGGGGTATTTTCTGCAAAGACAGATTGTCACCTAAGAAGGGGCACGGGACTCACTAAAGGCTTTGCATACTCCCACTCCCCGCACAAGGCTTTTTGCTGAGAAAATTAACAAGAATGAGCGGAAAGGGAAGGCAGAGATCACACTGCTGGTGCAAGGTCAGGAGCCCCCAGAGTTCTGGGAGGCTCTGGGCGGGGAGCCCTCCGAGATCAAGAAGCACGTGCCGGATGACTTCTGGCCACCTCAGCCCAAGCTGTATAAGGTGAGCCGTGGTGCAAGAGGCAGTGCTGGCCTGACTTCCTCCCCTGGCACCACGGTGGTGGCTGTGGTCTTCATCTGGACTTTGGTGGGGAGAGGGTGCCACCTTCTGGGCAGGAAGTAGTCAGAGCAAAGATCAGGAGGCTGGCTCTGAGTGAGGCCAGGAGAAGTAGTGTTAGACTGTGCGTTTTCAGGAAGGTGGGGCTGGAGAGGGAGGCTGCAGCGTGCCTGGGTGCCAGGCCTGAGAACCTGGCCTTGATTGTCAAGGTGATAGGAAGCCCCTAGGGGTGTTGCGAGCAGGAAGAGAATTAGGAATGACAATAAGGACCTGGAGAGGGCAGGCAGGGAAGGCATCATTTAAAAGCCCTTCCACTGATAGAATGTCCTTCAAACATTAGTGGAGGGAGGAAACCGGTCGGAAGAGGAGCAGGCAGTGGTCCTGAGCTCCCACAGCAGGGAAACGGCTGGACTCCAAAGCAGGGGGCTGCTAGGAGTGGGGCTCCTGTGCTCCAGAGCCTGCCCCTGCCACGCCCATCCCTTCCTGCTGCCAGGTGGGCCTGGGCCTGGGCTATCTGGAGCTACCGCAGATCAACTACAAGCTCTCCGTGGAACATAAGACCCGTCCCAAGGTGGAACTGCTGCCCAAGATGCGGCTGGTGAGACACATGGAGGGCGGAGGGTGCAGGGCCGGGATCCCTCGTTGGTGGCCCAGCGTGGGCCTTGACCTCCAGCCTTTGCCCTGCAGCTGCAGAGCCTGCTGGACACGCGCTGCGTATACATCCTGGACTGTTGGTCTGACGTGTTCATCTGGCTGGGCCGCAAATCCCCACGCCTGGTGCGCGCCGCTGCCCTCAAGCTGGGCCAGGAGCTGTGCGGGATGTTGCACAGGCCGCGCCACGCCACGGTCAGCCGCAGCCTGGAGGGCACCGAGGCGCAGGTGCGGAGTCCAGCCGAGCTGGCACAGGCCATGCCCCCTGGGAGCCACCCCTCGGCCCAGCCAGGCCCCGCCCCTCCACGGCGAGGCCCCGCCCCCAAGCCTCCCGGCCAGCTCGAATTTTATCCATGCTCATCCATGCTCGGCAGGTGTTCAAGGCCAAGTTCAAGAACTGGGACGACGTGTTGACGGTGGACTACACGCGCAACGCGGAGGCTGTGCTGCAGGGCCCGGGACTCACCGGGAAGGTGAAGCGCGACGCGGAGAAGAAAGATCAGATGAAGGCTGACCTCACCGCGCTGTTCCTGCCAAGGCAGCCGCCCATGGCGTTGGCAGAGGTGGGGGTGGGGCCCGGGGCAGGTGGACTGGGGGGGCGGGACCCTGCGGTAGTGGGAGGGGGCTCCGTGCGGGGGACCTGCCCTGTGACTCGCTGCTGCCCGGTGCAGGCGGAGCAGCTGATGGAGGAGTGGAACGAGGACCTGGACGGCATGGAAGGCTTCGTGCTGGAGGGCAAGAAGTTCGCGAGGTTGCCGGAGGAGGAGTTCGGCCACTTCTACACGCAGGACTGCTACGTCTTCCTCTGCAGGTGCCGCCGCAGCGCGCCGCCTGGCCCCTCCGCGAATGCTAGGGGCTCGAGCCCCACCCCCGCTCACCATCCTCTGACCCCCGCCCCCAGGTACTGGGTCCCCGTGGAGTACGAGGAGGAGGAGGAGAAGAAAGAAGAGAAGGAAGAAGAAAAAGCGGGAGCGGAGGGCAAAGAAGGCGAGGAGGCAGCGGCTGAGGCGGAGGAGAAGCAGCCGGAGGAGGACTTCCAGTGCATCGTGTACTTCTGGCAGGGCCGGGAGGCCTCCAACATGGGCTGGCTCACCTTCACCTTCAGCCTGCAGAAGAAGTTCGAGAGCCTCTTCCCTGGCAAACTAGAGGTGTGCCTGCACGCCCCTACCTGCTCCAGGCCGCGCCCCCATAGCCTCTGGAGGCGGGCAAAGACTCGGGAGGCTTGGTGGGGGTGGGGGAGTGGAGGCAGTGCGCAGGGAGCTGCCCCTAATGCTTCCACACCTCCAGGTGGTACGCATGACACAGCAGCAGGAGAACCCCAAGTTCCTGTCCCATTTCAAGAGAAAGTTCATCATCCATCGGGGCAAGAGGAAGGCGGCTCAGGCTGCCCAGCAGCCCAGCCTCTACCAGATTCGCACCAATGGCAGCGCCCTCTGCACCCGGTGCCTGGCTGCGGGGAGGGCGCATGTGGTGGGCAGGCAGGGGTCAGTGGGCAGCAGGGACCCCTCGCTGACACCTCCCACCCTGCAGGTGCATCCAGATCAACACTGACTCCAGCCTCCTCAACTCCGAGTTCTGCTTCATTCTCAAGGTGGGATTGTGGGTGTGGCGGGGACTGTGGAGCAGGGTCACGGGCTGTGGGCTGGCCCTGACTTGAACTCCCCTGCACACTTCTCAGGTTCCCTTTGAGAGCGAGGACAACCAGGGCATTGTGTACGCGTGGGTGGGCCGGGCGTCAGACCCAGATGAGGCCAAGCTGGCGGAAGATATCCTGAACACCATGTTCGACGCCTCCTACAGCAAGCAGGTGACGGGGGCAGGCGGTGGATGCGCCTGGTAGTCAGTCCCGTGGGAGCAGACCCAAGCCCTGGGCCAGACAGACCCTTTCCCACAGGTCATCGACGAAGGTGAGGAGCCCGAGAACTTCTTTTGGGTGGGCCTCGGGGCCCAGAAGCCCTACGATGACGACGCCGAGTACATGAAGCACACCAGGCTCTTCCGGTGAGGCCGGGACCCAGACCCCACACCCCCCAGCTTCCCCCCAGGGCCGGCTGTGCCTGCCACCCGCACAGCCTCTCCCTGACCCTCGACCTGCAGGTGCTCCAATGAGAAGGGCTACTTTGCGGTGACGGAGAAGTGCTCAGACTTCTGCCAGGATGACCTGGCGGATGACGACATCATGCTGCTGGACAATGGTCAAGAGGTGCAGCCCCTCCCCTCCCGCTGATCCGGCTGCCCAGGGGGCCCACCCACTGCTAGGTGGGAAGCTGAGACCCCCTGCCCTGCTGTCCCCACAGGTCTACATGTGGGTGGGGACCCAGACAAGCCAGGTGGAGATCAAACTGAGTCTAAAGGCCTGCCAGGTGAGCCAGCTGGTGGGGCGGGCTAAGCCCTGGCCAGGGGGGTGGGGGTCGGGTCTGTGAGGACCGCCCCGGCTCATGCCCTGTCCGGCCGGCCAGGTGTACATCCAGCACATGCGATCCAAAGAGCATGAGCAGCCACGCCGCCTGCGCCTGGTCCGCAAGGGCAACGAGCAGCACGCCTTCACCCGCTGCTTTCACGCCTGGAGCACTTTCCGCAAGGCTCTGGCCTAGGACAGCAAGCGCTCCCCATCTACAGCACCCCCATTGCAGCCCCGAGCTCGGGGCCGGGGTGGCCCGTACGTCCACTGCCATTGGTGGAGGCTGTGTGCAGGTGGCAGTCCCTGTTCGGCCACCCGGCCCCCAGTGCCACAGTCCCCAGCTGCACAGCCTGAGCAGCACCAGGGGGGATGCCCCGAACCAGGCCCTCAGGGGTCTGGGCAGCTGGAGTCCCTCTGGGGAGAGCTACTGTGTGATGCCCCCTCCCTACCACAGAGAAAGCAGCGTGGTTGCCTTTTAAGAGATATTAAATGCTTTTATTTTCAATATTAAAAATCAGTATTTTTAATATTAAAACAGCGCTAATCTTAACAAAATGACAAGAAAAAAACCCCAAGGTACAATCTACAGGGAAACCCTTCCTTACCGACCCCCCCTCCCAACACGTGCACACACGTGTATACACACACACACACACACACACACTCCTCTAACTAGACCCCAATCACGCAGTCACACACACACACACACTCCCAGTCACATACATACACACACACACTCGTGCACAGACTGGGGGGTGGAGGTGGGTGCTGGCCCAGGAGCAAGTACCAAAATAGTTTTAGAAATGCCCGTCCAGCCCGGCACAGGCGTTAGAAAAATACTCTTTGCAAAGGGGTTGGGGAAGGACGGTGTGTTGATGGGAGGTGGCATGGGCTTGCCAGCCCCAGCTGTCTTCTCCCCATGGCACCTGGCCTCCAGGCGGCCAGCTACCCACAGGAGGGGCCACTGCAAATCCGCCCCAGAGGCTCAGGGCTGAGCCCCAGGCTCACAGCCCTGCACCGCCCCGGGATGGGGCAGGCAGGTCCTGGTGGAGGCCACAGGTTAGCAGATGTGGGTCTAGGCAAAGGGCCCAGGGAGTCCTGGATCCCAACTCTGAGCAGTGCAGTTGGGAGCCACGTAGTTTTGGCCTTCCTGGTAAAGGAAGAGAAGAGGGCTCAGAGAAAGGCAAGGAGCCCCAGAGGAGCCGACAGCCTAGCTGCAGGGGCCACCATGCTGACTCCGCCCCCCCCCAGGGACAAGGGTCCTGCAGTGACAGCCAGAGGCAGGTTTGCTGAGCCGGAGCACTGCGCACATCTGGCCCCACCGTGGTCAGGCTTGGCAGCAGTGACCCCAACAATAGGAAGAGGGAGCTGGAGCGCAGGGTCACACTGGGTGGGGGCACCAGACAGCCAACAGGTGGGGCAGACCTAGGGACCCCCGACGCAGACCCCAGATCCAGGTCCTGCTCCCCGGGATCACCAGGCTGGACCTGACCACGCGAGCCTGGGGGATCTCATCTGCAAAACATGCTGGCCAAGCCAGCCCCCAAGCCCCCAGCTGCCAGCACTGCGAAGCTGTTTGCTCTGGACCGGTTCTACACACCACCTATGACATCCAGGAACTGACAGGCCGGCCCTGTTTTTCTAAAACTCAGGTATGAAAATCAGGGCTGTCAAACAGCACGGAGTGGGCCGACTCAGGGCCCTAAGCCCACAGCACCTTATTTGATCAGGATGGCGCAGGCTCGAGCCTCATCTTCTGCCAAGTTCCTCAGGTTTTCCGATTCCTCTGAAGAGCTGGGGGGAGGGGGATGGTAATCAGAAGGTCCTGGCACCGGGCCCTTCCTTAGACCTCAGTGCCCAGTTCCAACAGAAGGGAGGCCGGAAGGTGCAAGTAGGAGGCTAGGGAGCCTGGGGAGACCCTCCCACACACCCACTTGCCCATGTGCCTCACCCCAGGAAATCCTTCACGTCCTCTACTGTGACGTCCCCTGTCGTGTCCAGTGTGGTGTCCGCACTAGTGGCCGAGTCAATGGACATGGGCGAGAGCATGGCCTCAGGCGGCTCTGGGGTGTCTGCAGGGAGGAAGTGGTCAGGCCCCTGCCTGGAGCCCCACGGCACCGAGCACCCTCAGCACTCCACCTTCCATCCCCGAAGACCCGAGGACCCAGACCCAAACCCAGCCCACAGCGAGGCTTGGGACCACGGGCTGACCTCCAGCCCTCTCCTACCTAGCCTGCCCCACCCTGGGCTTATAGCCAGGGCCAGGCTATTGCCTCCCACAGAAACCCGCCCCCACATCTGAGCTGTGTGGAAGTCTGGCCACCTTTATTCCCCACCCCAGTCCTCCTTACCAGCTCCCTTGCTGTGGCCTGGATCCGGACTTCCATCGCGGCTCCGTGAGGCCAGGACGATGCCTGGGGTCCCGTTAGCCTGGCTCAGCTTGGGTGACTCTCGGAGCCTGTGGCTGCAGAGACGGGGTCATGATGGGGACCCCACACATGTCAGACCCTGCCTGCCCTCTCCCAGGCCCCAGGGTCAGAGAGGGGTGCCACCATGGAGGGCCACCCTCATTCCATGCAGAGTCAGGGCACGGGGATGAGAGCGCCCACGGTAGGCCTCCTGAGCTGGGCCTTCCACGCACCTGGCACGGGTGCTATCTCGGGGCCAGCTGATGTCCAGAGAGCAGAGCGGCTCTGTGATATTCCGGGCACTCAGAGAGAAGCGTTCAAATTCAGACGGAGAAATCAAGTAAAAACCTAGAGGGGGGGTGCAGGCGAGGAGAGGGGTGCAGTTAGGGCTGGGACTCCAACCACAGCCCATCAGCGGACTTCCCCTCCCCCCGGCCTCTGGGGCCAGTCCCACGCCAGCCCTGGGGCCCCTCTCTACCAACACTCCCCAGTGACCCTCCCAGCCCCGCTCAGGCTGCCCGCCCCAGGAAGCCTTGCCCTCACCCTGGCCGTGGCGCGTGAAGACGCAGGAAGCGATGCCGCTGATGTCCTCCTTCCGGATACAGGAATAGTGCACCTGCGGCCGCAGGCCAGGCACTGAGAACACGTGCACATCGCCCAGGTTGGTGAGGCAGGCCAGGCAGGTCTCCGCATAGTCCTCACAGGCCACACTGGCAAATGTGGCAAGTGCCACCTTGCGCACGCGACAGCCCTCGTGGGCCGTCAGCTTGAACTTGGTCTTGGCGCTCACCTTGGGCAGCGTGAACACCTGGCGGCGGGCGGGAGGCTGGTGAGCAGAGCCTGGAGTCCCAAGCACAGGTAGCAGCCCCCACCCCGGACCCAGCCTGCGAGTGGGGCCTGCGCCGCTTGGCCACAGGGCCACCTCTGCCCAGGACCCACCCGCCCCCAGCTACCCTATCCTCGCACTCCACCCAGGTTCCACGCTGCTCCGGGACACCTCCCAGAGCCCCACCACCTGTGGCCAAACCAGCCACACTGGCTTGTGAGGGTCAGGTGGCTGCTACCCCCTCAGATCCCGCCCTCCAGCCGGGCAGAGCCCCAAGGAGTGCTCAGAGGGTCCTGGCGGGGACTCAGGGGGGCAGGAGGGTGCTGAGGGACTGCGGCCACCTGGGATCTGCAGGGGGTACCTGTACTAGCCGGGGGTGTCTCAGGAAGAGGGAGGGATCTCAGCAGATGAGGGATACAGGGCAGTTTCTAGAGGGTCCAATGGTGTCTGGGCAGGAGCCTGGAGGGTCTTCCTGGGGCTTACCTTGAACTGCTCCTCAGACGCGATGAGCACGGCGTGGCCGCCCTGCATGTCAGGGGCCTGTGCCAGGTCCCGGGAGGCCTCATAGGGCTCGGGCAGCGGGCGGCCACGGCCATCCAGCACGGCGATGGCCACCACGGGGGCGCGGTGCATTAGCTGCACCTCCTTGCCCAGCACGGCCTCCACCGCCCGCTCGGGTCGCTTCTCGCCGCCTGCCGCTGCCGGCACCTCCAGCGCGTAGGCGAACACAGAGCCCGAGTTGGTGCCCGCCCACATGGTGGGTCCGTGGTGGGCTGCTGTGGGAGGCCGGGCCGGTGAGGCGGGCTGCCAGCTGCACCCCACAGGCTCCTCCTCTCCCCTCCCAAGGCCCCAGAACCGCCACTCCCCCGACCCACGCCTCCCCAGAGGCCAAGGCACGGTACCCGTGCTGCTGATGAAATGTGGGGCCTGGGATACAGCCCCCGCTAGGGGGGACGGCCTCGAAGACGTCTGCAGGCCCCCATCTACACCCGGGCCTCTAAACCCTGTCCCGCGGCACCCTCAGCCCCCAGCTCCGTACCAGGGAGCCCTGACCGTTCCCCAACGCCACCGTACACCATCACCGGTCCCAGTGACAGACTCAGAACCCCCTCACCCCACAGACATGCTCGAGTGGGCTGTGGCCAACCCCCTTCGGGGTGCTTGCCACCTCACAGCCACACACGGAGCCCTCGGTCCGGGGCTGGAAGACACTGGGGCCCCCGGGGACACTGTCTCACTAGCTTTGCCCATGCGAGCTGCAAATCTGGGGATGGGCCCTCAGTGCAGAATCGGAGGCAGGAGCCAGCAGGAAGTGCCAGTCACTGCCATGAGCCCTTGATGAACCGCTGGCCTCTGCAGCAGCCGTCAGGGGGAGCCAAACCCCCGGGGAAAGTCAGCAGCTCACACTGCAGCCCTGACAAGGGACACCGGCCACTGGGAAGCCGTGCCCCGTCGGCCACCTCAGGGACAGCAGAACGCGGTAAGGAGGGCTGCCACGTCCAGTGAGAAGAGCCATGGGACAGAGGATCCCCAACATAAAAATGACACCGAGAGGGGGTGCTCCCCTCACAGACCCAGGGACCGGAAGTCCCCTAAGTAAGATGCCAAGGAGGGCCTGACTAGATGCTGACCCGACACCAAGCATAAGGAGGTGTTCTTGAGATGAATGGACAAAGGCACCAGGAACCAAGCGTGCCTGGGGAGCCAGCTCCAGGCAGCATGCGGTCGGCTTTCCTCCTTCCCAGAAGGTGCAGTGCCCCCTACCAACATGGCCTAGATGGCCAGCTGAGGTCCATCCCCCCCAGCCCATCCCCACCACCCCCGTCTCACCATCTCGAAGGAACGTGTCGGCAAAGTAGAGGCAGCGGACGACGCCGGAGAGGGAGTCGTCGGCGGAGCGGGGCTCGATGCGGCGCTGCACCGGGGTCATCTCCACATCGTGGGGACACGCCTGCTCGGCCAGCTGCGCGTTGGCCTCCTGCAACTGGAGGGGCAGCGGCCTCCAGGACGCCGCCTCCCCCACAGCCCACTGCCCAACAGCCCGGCACCCTCCCCGCCCTGTCCTCACCACACTGGCTGGGGCAACCATGGCGACCAGACACCGGGCTCAGGGCTCAGGGCCCAGGCCAGGGCCGGGGCCTGGCTCCGCGGCTATGCCCAGCCTGCAGAGGCAGCCGGGCGGCACCCGGGCAGCCGAGCCCCAGCTCACCTTGCTGGTGGCATTAGCAGCCCGCTTCTTGCCCGAGACTCGGCTCTTGCGGATGCGCCGAAAGGACTGGCGCAGAGACTTCTTCAGGGACTTCACCCGGGACAGCGGGCCCTCCATGGCCAGAGAGTCATTGGGGTGAAGTGTGCACCTGCGGGCAGGCTACATCAGCCAGGGCCCAGAGCAGACACTGGGAGTGGCCACCATGCAGCCGCCGGCCCCGGGGGTCAGGAACCAGAGGCCCAGGGACGCTGCCCCACCATCCGGCAGCTGGGGCTTCAAACTCCGTGGCAGCACTTCCCCTAAGAACAGGGCTGCCAGAGGGGCAGGGGGCTTTCAGGGCACCCTACCTCCGTTATCTCAGACCTTAAAAGGGGAAAGCGAGGCCCAGACAGGTGTAGGGAAACATCAGAGCCCCCACAGGAGGCTGGGGTCGGGGGTAGGGGTGGGGGGGGCAGTACAGACCCTATGTCACCAGCCCCACCCCCCACACACCTGGCCAGCACTGGGCTCCTGCGCTGATAGTCGAAGAGGCCAAAGCCGTGACTGGTGCCAAAGGCCACGAGGCTCCACTCGGCATGGAGCGTGACAGCGGTGACAGCAGCTGGTGGCAGGCACTGAACCAGCACTCGGGGCTGGAAGCCAGCAGGCCACGGCAGCGGCCCTGTACGCGGACTCAGCCGCTCGTGGCCCTTCCACGTGAAGCCCTCTCGGTCCTGGAGGAGGTCCACGCTGGCCACGCTGACCGCCTGCTCCAAGGGCACATCACTTAGCTCCAGCACCAGCACCTGAGCGCACAGTCACGGTGGCGGAGGGGTCAGCATGGAGGAGGATGGGAGTAGCCAGGCCCCACCCAAGCCTGCCAAGCCCATCAGGGTGGTCCCAGTGGTATTATCTCTAGTTCATCTACTTAATAAGCACTTACTGAATGCCTGCTGTATACCAGGACCTTCACTGAGCACTGGGGAACACAATGGTGACCAAGACCTGCTTCCTTGTTTTTTATGAGCCAAGTATCCCATTCCCCCAAGCCCGTCTCCATTAAACACACAGAGTATATACAGAGTACAAGGCATAAGGTATATAGAGTGTACTTTCTTACTAAGTTCTTATATTCTTATATATATTAAGGTATGCCTTAAGTATACCTTAAGGTATAAGCTATAAGGTGTAAGGTATACAAAGTATAAGGTATACAGAATATACCTTCTGTATACTGCACTAGTGCCAGTGACAAAGCAGTAACCAAGAGCCGCTGGCCTTTGGAGCAAACTCCTTTCCACTCACCGGTCTCCCATTTAACAGTAAGTGCCCGTAGAACACATATGTATCGTGCGGGGTGCTGGGGACACCGCAAGGACCAAGCCCTGCTGGTCCCCATGCTCCCAGGGCTCACCTTATACTTGTGCTCCCGATCCCAGCCCCAACCCTCCGTGGTTCCCCAAGAGCCGGTGTCTAGCCTCAAGGCCCCCAACAGGTTCCACCTCCCTGGCCAGCCTCACCCCCACCACCCTCACCTGGAGCCCCACTCTGGGTCAGATCTACTTCCTTCAGAAAGCCTTTGGAGACCTCAACCCGAAGCCACCTCTGCCGTACCTGGCCTGCCGTGCCAGCCACCACCATCTGGGCCGTGTACTTGCACAGGGCCACCTTCTGCACACCGAGCCGAGGGTCATCACTGTAGGGATCAAAGCAGCCCACCTGGGGGGAAGGATGGAGTGAGGACTCAGGGCAGGGTGGGGCCCAGGTCCCCAGAGCTCAGGGAGGTGCCCACCTTGCGAAAGGGGGGCCAGTCGTCCTCGGCGGCCTGGGCCAGGCTGTCAGCGTGCTCACAGTCTGTCTGGAAGAGGCCGGCTGTGCTGAGCTTGTAGAGCGGCCGCAGTGCCACGCCAGAGGCATCCCAGAACCGCACAGTCCCATCCTCGTGGCTGCGGGGAAGGCGATGTCAGCCCCACCCCTGGTCCCCCTGCGCCTCCCCGGCCACTCACCCTGCAACCACTCACTGAGCACCCACTGCAGATGCCAAGCACTGACCAGACTCCCGTGGCACACAAGGACGCATCTACTGCAACGAGCGAACACATACTGAGCGCCCACTGTATGCCTGACCCCATGCACCTGGGCCTCTCAAACAGGGTAAAAATCACTGGAAATAATCACCAGTGTGATGAGCAGGAGATGGTAGAGGAGAAAATGCAGGGAAGAGAGGACTACGGGCGCATCCAGGAAAGGCGCTTAGGAGCTAGCCACAGCACAGAAGGATCAGCTGGGGCATGGGGCAGCCATGTAGGCAGGGCAGCAGGAAGCCTGGGGAGGCTGGGAGGAAGCAGGGAGGGGAAATAGGGGGCAGGAGCAGACAGATCTGGGGTGAAGCCTCGGGACACAGCTGCAAGGCCCACGTCAGGGGCCTCCGAGCAGTGGTGAGAGCCCAGAGCCAGGGTGTGAAAAGGTGCCTGAGTCTCTGGGGCCAGTTGGGACACTTCCAGAGCCACGATCAGTTCCCCAGCAGGGCAGGGGACGCTGGAGCCAGAGGCCTGAGGATTCCAGCACAGGCAGGCAGCAGAGGCAAGGCAGGAAGCTAGGGCCTGAGTCACGGGCACGTCAGCGCCCGCCAGGCCCAGGCTGGGCTCTGTAGCACCTGCCCAGGGCAGATCCGCGTGGGCCAGCCCAGATTTTCCGGTCCCAGGGCAGGCCAGGTAGGTGGAGCTCAGTTCCAGACCAAAAGGCAGGGCAGGGCGGGGCCTTAAACCAGGGCCTAGGGAAGCTTCATCCTAATCCACCCAGCAGGAGAGCGGGTGGCCTGGTCCCACCAGGGGCGGGGCCTGGCTCACCAGACAGGTCAGTATCCACCAGGCCTCGGACAGGCTCTCCCGCACCTGTGGGGCCTGCACCAGGCCCCATCTGCATACACACACACGCACAAACGCATACACACGTCACACCTGTGCTTGACCATGGAACACACATCTGCCTACCCGGTCAGCAGCAGCCCTCGCTGGGATGGCTCCTGGGCCAGGTTCCGGCCCCCAGTGATGGGCCAGCTCTGGGAGAGGGAGGCAGAGATTTGGAAGCGGAAGGTCAGGACAAATGCCTTCTTCTCACCCTGGGCCTGGCACCCAGGTCCCAAACTGCCTCTGAGTTCTCTATGCATGTCTGCCACATTCCCCACTCCGGGCCTGGGCCTGGCCAGAGCCTGGATCACCACTGCCATCCTCCACCCCCCACCCAACCCTCACCCCTCAGGAGGCCCCGGGCACATACCGAGGAGCTGGAGGCAGACTGCGGGCTCTGCTGCTCACCAGCACTCACGATGCGGGCCCACAGCTTGGCGGGGACATTGGCGACGTGTGCAGAGCAGGTGATCGCGGACGAGTGCAGTGGGGCCAGGTACGGGGCGGGCACGGCAGGCCAGCCAGGCGTCTGCAGGTCCAGTACCACCAGCTCCTCCTCGAGCAGCACGGCCAGGGCCTGGGGCTCATCGAATTCTGCGGGACGAGGGCTAGGTGAGCCCAGTGGCAGGGGGCAGGGGGCACGGGGCACGGGGCATGGAGCACGGGCCAGGGCGGGCACACACCATCCTCAGGCCGTGTGCTGTGCACCGTGAAGAAGTCGATGATGCGGGAAGTGAAGTCCAGCGTCACCAGGGTCTCGGCCCGGAGCACACTCACACAGTGGCGGTCACCGTAGCTGGCACGGGGCATGCCTCCGCTGAAGATGATGAAGTGGTCCCTGCAGGGCCGGCAGGGGAGCCGCGTGAGCCACAGGGCCCCAGGTGCGCACTGCCCAGCCCAGGGAGAGCGATGCAGGCCGTCCCTGCGCCCCTGCGCCCACCCTGCTCCCCGCTGCAGACACAGCCCCCAGCCCGCATCTGAGAACCCGCTCCCCACCTACCCAGATTCACAGTTTCGCCACAGAATCTTGTTAATGGCTTTGCAGGGGAAGGGGCCTGGAGGGGTGGGACAGTGTCGGGCTCACTCGCTCGCCAGGACCGGAAGGGCCCCAGGTCACACTTCTCCAAGCTTCTCCCATTCCTAGTCTGCCTCCATCGCTCCCCACCTCGCAGCTGCTTCCTGACTCCCCGAGGGGAAGGCCCACTATCCCACCACGCACCCCCCCAGTGGTCTCACCTTTGAGGATGGCACTTGGCACCGCCACCTTCCACCAGTCCTCTTGGACATCCCCACCAAGGCCAGGCAGCCCCAAGTGCCTGAGTTTGGGGTCACCGGCCAACCCCATGCTCAGGCGGCAGGAGCCGCCCTCGGCCTCCCCGGCACTCACCATATGGCGTGGTGGCCACTGTGGGCTGGGTCATCGGGGAGTCGCCAGCGTCGGCGGACCAGACGGCGTAGCTGCCGTCGCTGTGGGAGCTGACCAGCGTGCTGCCGCTGCGTTCCCAGCACAGGCTCTCCAGCTGCTGCTGGGCGGGGTGGGGAGTGTGAGCAGGGGTGTGAGCAGAGGGCCTCGGCGGGGGGCGCTGGCCTCCCCCACATACCTGGTTACCCAGGAAGACGCGGTCTGCGCACTGTGCCGCCTGGTTCCAGATGACCAGCAGGCCTCGGCTGTAGCCGATGAGGATCTTGGTGGGGTCCCGCAGGTGTCCCTGGAGTGACTCCACGGGGCCCAGTGCCTTCCCACACCGGTAGTCGTCTGGCACGCTGAGGAGGGGCTCACGTGAGCTGGCAGGAGCACCCCCAGGCCCAGACTAGCTGCTGGGGGGCCCGCCTGCCTCTCACCTGCGAAGAACCTCGTCCGGGACAAGAGTCCGCCCCTCGAGCAGTGTCAGGGTGGGAACATCCAGGAAGAAGACGCTGCCGCCCTCAGTGCCCAGGGCTGCCATGTCACCAGGCGCCACCAGCAGGACCACTGTGACGCGGGCAAGGCTGAGCGGGCCACTGCACAAGAGGAGGGGAGGCAGGTGAGGGTGAGCCCAGGCCCTTCTAAGGAGGGGTATGGATGGGGCGGAGCTGCTCATGAAGGCCCCCCTGTGCTCAGGGGGTTCTCGAGTGGGCTGGCGCACCGGGAAGGCGACGGTGTAATTAGCGCACTCAATTATTCATCAGGATGTTGGGAAGGAGAGGGATAAAAATAGGTTCCCCAGGTCTTGGAGACAGACTCCCGAGCCCCTCCCACTCACTAGGAGGGGAAGGCAGGAACCAGGCCAGCGCCCAGGCCAGGACCAAGGGCTCCAGGACACACACAACCCTCCTGAGCCCGACCCGGGAACCCCAGTCACCAGCCCACGGATGGCCCCCTGACTTCACTGGAGGTGCCCCAGACTGACCCTGCCTGCAGAGGATGAGAGACCTCCCCTGGGGGACCCATCCTAGGGGGAGGGGTGGATGTGTGGGGGGTCTCACTCAGCCCTCAGCAGGAGTAGGACAAGCCGCCCACTCAGGCAGTACAGGATTCTTGAAGGGTTAAGGACTTGCCCACACTGACCATTTCAGGAAGGGCCAGCAGGGCCGGGCACCGAGAGGCCCCCTTACACTCTCACCGGGGGTCCAGGCCCACTCGGTTGCCCCCTAGAGTGTCCTCTCTGGCACCTCACACAGCCTGGTGGGACCCTCCTTGCCCCCAAACTTGCCCTGTCAGCCATGCACTTTACAGCCCATTACCCCACCCCCAACCATGAACGGCCCTAGTCACCACCAGAGCATCACCTGAGACTCAGCCGGGACCCCCTATTTAACACCCGAAAAATCCACCAGAACCCAGGCACAGCTCGATGGACTCCACCCCCCTGAAGCCCAGGGCAGGGGTCCTAGGCCCACAGCAGAGGCCGGCTCCCACCACCTCCACCAGGCTCCCCTAGGCCCCGCAGCTCATCCCCAGCCAAGTCATCTGGTACCTGGCCCCATCAAAGCCCGGCCGACTCGGTGGCTGGAAGCTGAGAGCCTCCTCCAGGTGGGCGCAGCCGTTGCGGTGGGCGATCTCCCAGAGGTGCAGGCTGCTATCGTCCAACAGGGTCAGGAGGCGGCCCTGGTGGATGAGCAGAGACAGAGACCGGGCTAGTTGGGGGCTGGGCAGGGCACAGAGGCTGGGGCAGCCGCGGAGGGGAGAGGCTCACCTGGCCGGGCAGGAAGTGCATCTGGGTGACAGTGGCTGTGTCTCGGTGCAGGCCAGTAAACTCCACACCAGGTGCACCATAGCTGAGTGCAGACGTCAAGGGCAGAAGCAGGCACGGGAGATCCTCCCTTCCGAGAACCGTCCAATGGGCCCCCGCCAGGCCTGCCCTCCAAGGTCCAAGGAGGGACACCCGTCCTTGAAGAAGCACCGGTCTGTACCCCCAAAATACCCCCAGGCTCAGAGAGCAGGCTTCACTCTGCGCTGCAAGTTGGTACTATGTGACCTTTACTTCCTCATCTGTAAAATGGGCTTGTGAGTCCCACTCCAACCTTGTAGGGCTGATGCAGGGCAAGTGAGAATACAAACACACCCAGCACCTTTGGCCCAGGCCTGGCACATGGCCAGGCTCCCGTTCTGTGTCAGCCTCAGAGCATGTCTGTGTACGTTAAGAGCTGGGCCCCGCAGGTTGGGATCACACAGGCAGAGAGGCCAGGCCGGGCCTGGGTACGGAAGCCTGGGGCACAGCAGAGCCCAGGCTGCCTCTTCCCACAGCTCCAGGCCAACCTCCAGCTGCAAGCAAGGACATCGAACTCCCTCTGGGACTGGCAGCCAGCAGCCCCTACTGTGATGGGGAGAGGCCGGGACCAGCCCATTTCATAGACATTGCACGGAGGCTTGGGAAGGTTGGGTGAGTTGCCGCAAGTCCCTGGGGTCAGTGCCAAAGTCACCACGGCAGCTCCAGGCAGCTCCAGGTCTGACAGTGGTCCGACAGGGGTCGGAAGGGGGTGGGGAGGGGGGTCAGGAGGGAGGGCTAGGGAGGGGTCAGTGTTGCCCAGCAACAACACAGGGGCTCGTTGCTTTGGAGCTAGAGCTGAGATTCCCTGCAGGAACCAGAACACAAGAAGAGGGGACAAAAGAGAGGGCAGGAGCTGCTGGGCGGGAACCAGGGTTGCCAAGGAGACGGCTGCCCTTGAGGGGGAGGGGTAGCTGCTGTGGCCAGCCTCAGTTTCCCAACCCAGGGCTCTGGTAGTTTGGGGGAAGGAAGGAGGGGAAAGAGGAGGGCCCCAGCCTCCTCCTCTGGGGCTGTCTCCTCACCAGTACATCAGGTTCTTTGTGAGCACGCAGAGCCCGTGCATGAGAAACACCATGGAGGGACAGCTCAAGCGGCTACCAGAGTCGCCTGGACAGGGGACTGAGCAAGGGGCTGCAGGAACACAATACACGTGCAGGGAGGGTACAACAGCACCCAGAGGGGCAGGAGCAGGCCGGGGCTGGTGGGGGGCGGTTCAGGGCAAGGGATCCAAGCACTGTCCCCTCCCCACCCCATTCCCTGCTCCACGGTGCCTCCCTGGGAGTCCATGGGAGAGGAGGGGCACCCCGGCCCCACCACACCTCCTAGGGAAGGTGGACTCGCAAACTATAGGCCCAGTCACCCACCCCTGACCGGCCACCGGCCCTGGGGTGGGAAGGCCCCCATGCCCACCCCACCCCTTTCCAGGCATTGACTCATTTTTTGGCCAACCAACGTCCCCAGTGAGGGTACTGAGAGCTGGAGGATCACGGAGCACAGGGGGAGGGCAGGCAGCCCCCAGTAGGCCCTTCCCTCAGTTTCCCCACCCAAGGGGCTTCCCCAAGAGCAGCAGGGGTGGGGTCCTCCGTAGCAAGCAGGGAGGCAGTCAGCTGCCGGCGTGCCCCCACCCCGCCCCCACCCCGCGCTGGCAGGAAAATGCCCGCTTTGTGCAGCTCACACGGCCCATTGTGCAGCCGCCGGCACCCAGGTGGGGGCTGCGCCGCGCTCACCATGCTGAGCCTGGCACGGCCCCCAGCCCCTCGGCCGCACACATGTGTCTTCACATTCGCACACGCGTGTATGCCTGGTCACCAGGGCAAGGCCCGCTAGGCGACCCTGGCCCATTCGCCACCCCTGCTGGGTACCGCGCCTGGCCAGCCTCCCGGCCCAGTGTTCCCAGTCAGTTGCTGGAGCAGTGGCAGGGTCGCCTAGGTAACTTGCCGGCTGAAACGCAGCTAGGGACAGCTGTGACCACTACAAGCTGAACCCTCCCCCACAACCATTTCTGTAAAGAAGTCTCAGGGCAGAGGCTGCACCAACTCCACCAGGACCCAGGCACCGACTGCGGCCTCCTGGGGTGGGCCAGGCCCCAGGAGTCAGCACGTAGGGGGCTGCGAGCAGGACTGGCCCTGAAGGCCTCGGTGCGCAAAGGATACATCTTGACGGCCCCAGACCTCGTGCCGATGGCCATGATGCGGAGCTCTGGGTCAAAGGCCAGGGCGCTGGGCTGGTTGGGGAAGCCATGCTCCACGGTCTGCAGGGGGAGGGGAGGGCATGGGCAGCGGCACACAGCCCCTGGCCCACCTGAGGCTCACCCCAAGGCAGCCTCCAGACTAGTGTAGCTGCACAGTGAGGACGGGCGCCTGTCCATCTGAGCTCTGCACCTCGGTGTTCCCAACTCTGAAACAGGTGATCACATCTGCAATCCATACCTCACAGGCCCTCCCCCGGCCAAGACCTTGTCCTCTGCACCCACGTCCGGCCCGCCCTGTGCAGGGCTCTGGCAACAGAGAGAAGCAGGACCCCCAAGGTGCAGGCACAGAAGTCGACCCTACCAGTCGACCCTACCCGTCCCACTCCTGTGCCCCACTCCTGGAGGTGAGCTGCCATGCTTTCTGAGGTCCCGTATGATGTGCGTGGCACTCCCCACGGGCCCCACTGGAGATCGGAGGGCAACACCCGGGATCAGCTCGTCCGGCTCCCCCAGGGCCTCTCCTTCTGGCAGGGCCTGTCCCTCGGCAGACTCCAGCCCTCTGGGTTCTCAGTCCTTCCTTCCACCGGCTCATGCTTTCGGCCACCTTCCCACATCCACCATGGAACTCCCACTCATCCCCAGAGGCCTGCCTGAAGGGGCTCCCACCCTGTCTTCAACACCAATGCGGGACACACCACAAGTGGGCACAGGCATCTCCTGACCAGTGCCTCAGTAAGGCACACATTTCAAAAGAAACCGTGGTCCCAGGCCTGCTGCCCCAGCCTCCCTCCTGCTTCAACCAATCTAGGCCAGGGACTGCACCCTCTATGCAGCTGGCTTGGATCACTACATTCTCCAAGCCTCCTCAGTCTCCCATGTGGGCACTAGGGGCAGTGAGGCCATCTGAGGACAGAGTCGCCCATTTGGCTGGCAGGGCAGGGGGCAGGGGGGAGTGCCCTTCCCTTTCCCACCAGCCTCGCCATGCCCGTACTAGAGCTGACCAGGTCTAGCCAGTCCCATCCTCTGCTCAGGGCCCTCTCTGAGCTCCCACCTTACCACCTGGCCCCTCTCTGTCCTCCTCCTCTCTCTCTCCCCCAACTTCTTTGACTCCAGGCCCAACGGCCTTCTGCTCTCCTCCAATTGACTAGGCAGGCTCCTGCCTCAGGACCTTTGCATCTACTATCCCTCTACCTGGAAAGTGCTTCACCCAGCATTCCCCAAGGAGGGCTCCTCCCCATTACTCAGGTCTCAGCTCAGGAGTCACCTCCTCAAAGCCCTCCCCGAATCACCCTGCTCTAGCGGCTCCCTGTCCCCACACTCCCTACCCTCACCCTACTTTATTGTATCCCCAACACTGGCCATCATCCTAACTGCTGCATATTTCACTCTTCTGCTTTGACTTTTCACTGCCTCCCCCACGAGTACCTCAGCACCCCAAGTGAAGAGGCATTTGTCCCTCTTGGGTCACTATGGTGTGTCCTCAATACCTAGAAGGGGGCCCTCACACAGGAGGAGCTCAGGATATAAAGTGACATAGACTGGACATCCCATGGGCAAGGTGCGGGCAGGACAGCGATCTGGATGCAAGACAGTCCAAAGTCCACGCCTGCTTCTGATGCTCGCCACCACTCAGGATCTAGGACCCATTTGTTCTCTAGTGATCGCCTATCTCCTATTGTGACCAAGTCCCTTGCCCCAAACTACACCAACGCTGCCCACTCAGAATGGGGCCTCACTCTCCTGAGCAGGGAGCCCTTGGCTTCTGCCAACCCAGGCCCAGCCAGGAGGACCCACCATGTATCTCCAGTCTCCACTTCACAGTCCCTGACTCACCTGTCCCCACCATCCTCCTCGCATCTCACAGGGGCTCACGCACACAGTCACCCAGCGCACCAGAGGAACCAGCTGGGAGACCCTGGACACCAGCCACCCTTCTGGGCTCCCCAGGCCCCTGGCAACTTCTCAGCTACCACGTCTGAAGGCCCCGGCAGCCCCACCACCACCAGGAAACCCTGCCTGCCCTGAGAGACATTCCCACCTCAGCCACTTCACCTCCAGCCATTCCAGAGCCTTCTCCTGAACAAGGGTCTCCTCGCGTCTGGCTCAGGACCACAGCAGCCCATCCAAAAATCCCTGCCCCTCAAGACTCAAGTCATATCTTGTCGACAAGGGGCCACAAGGACAGAGAGCCCCAGCGCAGTCTGTGACTTTGGGCAAGTCATCATCCCTCTCTGAATCTCAATTTTCTCACCCGTATAATGGGAACAATAACTCTAATCCCCGAGAACAGTGAGGGGCTGTGCAATCAGAGGTTGGGAGTAAAAGTGAGGGCAGAAGAAACACCCCAGAAGTTAGCAATGGAAAGACGGGGGCCTGAATCTACCACACATCAGCGCAAAAGCTGGGCAGAGGAGGGAGCTGAAGGCAGCCCCTTTCCCATGGCCCCCTCTTGCCCTACCCAGGAAAAGAAAGGAAGGAGCAACCACCTCCACCTTGGCCCAAAGGATAGGTCAGTTGGACCATGCGACACAGGGAGCCAGAGCCCACAGCAGGGAAAAAGGTGGCCCCATTTCATAGCAAAGGAAACTGAGGCCCCAAGAGTTGAAGTGTAGATGCCTACACAGCCAGCCTACACAGCCAGCCAGGCATCTTCCCTGGAGCCCCCAGCAGAGCAGGGCAGGTCAGAGCCCCGGAAGGCATAGCCTAGGGCCTTGGGGGAGGGGAGGAAAGGAACCTGGACGGGATTTCCCAGCCCCACCCCCCACAACATCTGCCTCCATTCCTCACCCCTCCCTACCGGCCTGGGTGCGAAACCAAAACAAACTGGGGCCCTGGGCTGCCCCAAGGGCTGAGCAGGGGCTCTGAGGTCCCCCAAAGGAAGAGAGAGAGAGAGATAGCAAGAGCCAGGGGGAGAGTTCCCAAAGACTGCACAGAGACGCATGTAGGCAGAGAGACACGCAGGAGAGACAGGCGAAGACTCAGAGATCAAGAGACAGAAAGAGATGAAGGAAGGCAGAGAAGGGATACGCAGAGACACACAGGGACAGAGGCAGACAGGCTGAGGATAGGGAGGTGATCCTGGGCAGAGACGGGCAGAGACCCAGAGGCATGCAAAGAGTCGCACAGAGAGAAACACACACACAGACCCAAGTACACAGAGATCCGCATAGCCAGGGCCAGTGAGGCCCACAGGGACCCGGAGGGGCTGACTCGGAAAGTCAGCGAGGGACCCAGACCCACCCAGAGTCCGAGAGTGGAGCAGGGGAGGAGACGAGAAGTGGGGCCCGCCGAGGGGCGCGCAGCCCGCTCCCCGCGCCGCGCCCCAGCTGGGCGCCCCCTCCCCCCGGGCCCGACGTGGCTCCGGCCCCCGGGCCCCCGGCTCGGGCCCCCGGCCCGCCCCCTCCCGCCCTCTGCCGCCCTCTGCCCGAACCACCGCCGCCGCCGCCGCCGCCGCCGCCGCACCTTGTTGAAGGCGAAGAGCTCCTGCTTGAGCTTCTCGCGCTGCGGGTCGGCTCCCTGCCGCCGGAACCGAAACTTCATCATCTTGCGTCCGGCTGCCGGCGCCGCGCCCGCCGCCGCCGCCGCCCGCAGGATGCGCCGCGCGGCCCCGCCGGTCCTGAGGCGCGGGCGGGGCGCCAGGCAGCCCGGGCGCGGGCGCGCGAGGCGGGGCCTGCACGGGGGCGGACACAGACAGCGACTGACGTGCAGGCTGACCAATGGATGTGCCCGTGCGCTGTCTGCCCGCCCCTACCGGCCAGACAATGGGGGAAGACTGGGCCCCCGGGCTCGGCCGGGCTCGCGAAAGTACTCCCGTCGAGCATGCGCCGCGGCGCGGGGCCTGCCGGGACTTGTAGTCCATTAGCCAGGCCTCCTCCGTGGGCGGCTGGGGAAGAGCTTTGGAGGGGGCCGGCGGGTGTTTCCGAAGTTGGAGGAGGACTTTTCCGTACTCCAACGAGGAGCAGCGTGCTTATTCAGGTATTGAGGCAGACCTGTCCCGAAAGCCAGGAGAGTTCCGACTGGTCCAACTCCCAGACTCTTCAGCCTCAGTTTCCCCATATACGACACGGTTCAGTGATTGCCGAGTTATATTTATAGTTTCACGGGACACCAATTTGTTCCCCTGTGTGCCAGAACACCTCCCACCGCCATGTTTCGCCCTGGCTGGGTGGTCAGTCAGGAATGCCCTCCTCAGTCCTAAGCCCCTGGGCAACTCCTACACATCCTTCAGGGTCCACCATCAATGGCTCTGTGTAGCAGCACGGGATTCTGAGGCAGGCCATCAGCTAACGAGAGGGGCAGGTAAGAGGCCCTTTCTCAGGAAGTGGCATTTGGGACGATATTGAGATTGGATCTGGGCCGCTCCAAGATGGGGGAAGGGCCACCCCTGCACAGGAACAGTGTATAAACAAAGCTGCACCCCGCCCCCAGTCTCCGAGGGACCATTGGGCCTGTCCCCACCCACCTCCCAGGCTGCCTTTTCTCATCTGGAGGATGGCCTCAAGGCTGAAACCTTCCTTCCAAGGCTGAGGATAGGCCGCCTGGGCTCTGGGCCGGGTAGGAGGGAGCTCCCAGGAGCAGGTGGGCAGGTGGACCAGGGCCCAGCCCCACAGAGCTGGGCCAGGGGAGGCAGGCCTGACTTCTGACCCCGAGGTAGCTGCCACGTGACTGGAGCCTGGCTGTTCCCCCACCGCCCGCCCACGCCCACAGCAGCCCAGCTCAGCCCTTCCCTGGGCTTGGGGCTACATCTGGAAGAGGAGTGGGTGGGGGAGCAGGGAGGTGAGTGCAGGGAAAAATGACCAGAACAAAGTTGAAGGGTACCTCCCGGGTGGCAGGCACTACTCCAAAGCCTTTCTCGTTTCAACTGACTTAATGCTCTCAATTTATCTGTGAGGGAGGAAACAGTATTCCCTGCTTTACTGTTGAGGAAGCTGACTGATGATGGGCAAAGGCAAGTGGGGGCTTTGACCTGAGCTGTAGGCAGAGCTGGCTGGACAGAGTGGCCGCAGAGCCCACTCCACACCCCAACACAGGCTACTCAGGCCCCTGGGAGGCCCAGGTTCTGGTCCCTACCCTGCCACCCACTGACTGAGTGACAAGACCTGAGCCCCAATTGCCTCCTCCGCAAAATGGAAGCCTCACAATGGGAAGTGTGAAGTTGTTAATTTACATTCCCACATCATTGCTTAGAAGCTGTGTGGCCTGGGGCAAGTTTCCTAAGGTTTCTGTGCCTCCAGTCCTCACCTGTGAAAATGAGGAGACTATTAGTACCTACCTCAAGGGGTTGCTATGGAGATGAATGAATTAGGACTTGTAAAGCCCTTAGGAAGTTCCAGGCAGACAGGCAGGGCCCTTTGAGTGTTAGCAATTCCGAGAGTTCTTGCTAATTGCCATGGGAGCTCTTCCCCTCATCACCTTGGGCCAGTCCCTGCCCTTCCTCAGTCTCCTGTTCTCTGTCTTCGAAAGGGGACTTAGTCATCGCGCAGTGAGCAGCCATGCCTCCCCACCCCACCCCCAGCTCACAATTGCAGGGGGGTGGGGTGCAGAGCTGAGTGGAGACCATGACCACCCAGGGTTTACTCTGCTGTGATGGAAGACACGTGGGGGCTGCGGGAGCCCAGCAGAGGCATCTGACCTGAGGTAGTGTCCTGGAGGTCTGGGGGTAGACAGAGAAGGGTCCCGCGGCAAGGAGGGGTACATAAAGTGTCAGAATGCACCCTCCACATTTGTAAACAATGCAGATTCTAGGTCCCCCAAATTTGAGTGCCTGTGGTGTGGGGGCCCAGAATGTGGATTTTAAACTAGTGCTTTCTCAGGTGACTGAGAACCAGCTTGGCCTCATCCGATCAGTTTGAAGGGGGCTCAGGAAGTCCACTAGGGTACAAATGGGTAAAGTGAGATGCAGGCAGACTGGTCCAGCCTAACCACTTACAGGGCAGGGTTTAGGAATGGCACTGGGGAGGGTATCAACCCAGGCTGCGAGGGCCTGGGGCACTAATGACTCTGTCACTCCCCTCCCCCAGAGCCTCCTCAGGAACAGGCCTGTGACTACTACAGTAGCCCAAGGCAATAGGGCCCCCACCCCACCCTAGCTCGTTGCTTGATGCAGGAAACCGAGGTTCGGGGAACCCGGGCAAGGGCATGAACACAGGACCTTCGGTGATCTCAGGCACCATACTCATCCTGGGAGCACTGGAAGGGAAAGCAGGTCCCTCCTTGGAATCTTCCAGCCTTGGGTCAACCTCAGGCCAGGGAAGGACTGTTCCCTTCTCGGCATTTCCTGGGTGGGGTGGCCTCTCCCTCCTCCGTCCTCCTCCTCAGGCACTCCAGGGCCCTATCCTTGCTCTGAGGTGAGACTCAGGTCTTGCTTCAAATCCTAAGACATCTCCTTGCTAGCTGGATGACCTCAAGTAAGCCATTTGTCCAGCTCGAGCCTCAGTTCCCCCATCCTCATCTGTAAAATATACCAAGGACTAAATGAAATTATTCTAAACAGGAATTAAGCATGGGGCAGGTTCTGGACCTAGTGAGCCACCTGGTTTTAGGACTCTCTCCAGGACCTGCTGGATGCCTCACCATGCTTCAGATGTGCTAGACATGCTTCTGCCATAGGACCTTTGCACTCACCGATTCCTTGTCTGGAACACTTTGCCCCTAGGTTTTCACTTAGCCAAATCCCTCACATCCTTTTGGTTTTAATTTAAATAACATTTGCTCAGAGAAGCCTATTTTCCTCACTTGTGATACCCTTCTCTGCCTGATTCTTCTGATGACCTCTTTGTAACCACCATCTATTTGACTTTTTCATTTTTACAGAATTACTTAGAGTGTGAATGAGTGGGGACAGGGTAGAGGAAGAGGGAGAGAGAGATATCTCAAGCAGACTCCCGCTGAATGCAGAGCCAGAAGCAGGGTTGGATCTCATGACCCTGAGATCATAACCTGAGACCCTAAATTCATGAGTTGAATGCTCAATCAACTGAGCCACCCAGGAGACCCTTGACTTCTTTATGTGTATATTGTCTCCCCAGCTTGAGAGTGAGCTCCCTAAATTCTTGATGTTTTGTTTGTTTTTTATTTTTTTGACAGAGAGAGAGAGAGAGAGAGAGCGCGTGCGCATGCACCAAGCACAGGCAGGGAGAGTGGCAGGCAGGGGAGAAGCAGGTTCCCCACCGAGCAAGGAGCCCAACGGGAGGCTCGAACCCACAACCCTGGAATCATTACCTGAACCAAAGGCAGCCACTTAACCGACTGAGCCACCCAGGTGTCCCAAAGGTCTTTCTGGTTTTTAATTCTGTTCACTGCTGTGTCCACTGTGCCCAGAACAGTGCCTGGCACAGAGTAGGTACTTAACACATAAAAATAAGTAAACAAAGGGACACCTGGGTGGATCAGTGGGTTAGGCTCGGCAAAGAGCCTGCTTTTCTCTCCACCTCTGCCTGCCTACTTGTGTGTTCTCTCTCTCTGACAAATAAACAAATAAATAAAATCTTTAAAAAAAAAGTAAACAAATAGATAAATAAAATATATTTGAAAAAGATCTGAAGCCATTACAACAAAATATTAATGTGTGTGGGCGGTGGGTGCTCCTGTGGCTTCTCTGTTCGAGTATTTTTCAATGTGTTTGAAATAATTCATTAAAAATATAAAACACAGGATCTTAAAAAAAAAAATGGGGCGCCTGGGTGGCTCAGTGGGTTGGGACTCTGCCTTCGGCTCGGGTCATGGTCTCAGGGTCCTGGGATCAAGCTCCGCATCGGGATCTCTGCTCAGCAGGGAGACTGCTTCCCCCTCTCTCTCTGTCTGCCTTTCTGCCTACTTGTGGTCTCTGTCAAATAAATAAATCTTAAAAAAAAAAAAATATATATATATATATGTATATATATATAACACAGGGACACTCGGGGGTGCAGTCTGTTAAGCATCCAGCTCTTGGTTTCAGCTCAGGTCATGATCTCAGGGTCATGGGATGGAGCCCTTCGTCAGGCTCCATGCTTGGTGCAGAGATGGCTTTGGATTCTCTCTCCTCCTCTCCCTGCCCCTCCCGCTCGTGCTCTCTAAATAAATAAATACTTAAAAAAAAAAAAAGGTAAAACACAGGAGCCCTGATTTTGGGACGCTCAGGTGGCTCAGTTTGTTAACCATCTGGCTCTCAATTTTGGCTCAGGTCATGATCTCAGGGTTGTGGGACCTGAGCCCTGTGACGGGGTCCCTGGGGAGCATGGAGCCTGCTTGGGATTCTCTCTCTCCTCTCTCTACCCCTCCCTGCTCCCTCACTCTACCTTTAATAAAATAAAATAAACTTAAAAAAAAAAAAATCCACACTGCTTACGAGTCAAATCCCCAGAAAAGGGCAGTGGATGGCATGCAGAGAGGCAGGAGGGTAGGAGGGGTGTCCCTGAGCCAGGCTGCATTGCATCAAGGGCGTCCTCAGAGGCAGACCCCCCAATAAATGCTGTATCTGTGCTTTATCTGCTTGAATCCTCGCAGCAACGCTGGAGGGAGGTACAAGGGCGATCTCGCTGTACTGAGTGTAAATGGAAGCTAAGGACAGAGAAGTGACTTGCCCAAGGCCACCCTGAGTGGGGAAGGAGGGAAGAAGGGGTGACATGGGAAAGCCCCAAAAAGGCAGAGTAGGGGCAGCGAGGGAGGGGGAGGAAAACCTGGCTGAGGGAGGCAGGCCCTGCCTTCCAGGAGCTGGCCCAGATCCCGGCTGAGGCCACGACCCTCCTCTGCTGCCCAAACCACACACACAGCTTCTTCCTGGCGGCCCCTCCAGGGACCTGGCAGGCCCGAGGATTCCTGGAGCAGAGTGTGGGCTGGGGCCCGGGGTGGGCAGGGCCTATGGTGGGAGAAAGGTGGGTGGGGGTTGAGAGGCCACAGGGGAGCCTGGCCTAGAGGTGGGGAGGAGAGACCCCCTCATGCTGCACAGCATGCAAAATGAAGCTGGCTCTGAGGGCCATTCTTCAGGGCCCGGACAGGCGAGGGGCCAGCAGATCTGGGGCCCTCAGTCCGCAGAAGGCGAACAGTGTGCTGGGCCTCCGTGAAAGAAAGAGGCCAAACAAGTAGGGAGAGTATTGGAGCAGACCCAGCCTGTCCTCATTTTACAGGGAGGAAACGGGCTCACAGGGCTCCTTTTCTGGGTGCAGGACTCAGCCCTGACACTCCCGATCCTCTCTGAGCCTGGCTCCTGAGCTGGGCTTTTCTTCAGCTCATGCTGCGCCACAGCGTGATTCACGTGCACCTGCCTCCTGCTTCAGCCTGACCCTGTGGTAGGCTCATCTATGCTTCATTGCTGTGGCCCCCCAAGTTCTAATCTTGCCTCTGCCGTGGCACCTTTCTAGGCCTGTTTACTTGCCTGCAGAATAGGGGCAAATATGAATTGCTACCATTTATTAGCACTGAGCACTTCATCTGTGCTAGGCACTACTGTCATTCATTTAATCCTATGCCCATCTTACAAAAGAAGAAACCAAGGTCAGAGAAGTTAAGTAATTCGCCCAAAGTCACACAGCTAGTATGTAGCAGTCAGGATTTGAGCCCAGGACCCAAGGAAGGTATTAGTTTGTGGTGAAAATAAACTGGGGCAGCTTGTAAAGGGCCACAGTCCAGGAGAGGACTCACAGAGTCCAGGAGAGGGTGGAGAGTTGGGTCTTAGTCTCCCAGGCTGGAGTGGAAGCAGTGGGACCATACAGCATACTTGGGACTGTGCTGAAGCCAGCCAGGGGTCTGGGGAGCCCAGAGGCAACCCTGAGGAGTCTGGGTGGGGGCCAGAGACGGCAGTGGGCACTGGCACATGATTCACAGGCTCATGCGCTGGTGAGGCGGTGAGTTGGGTCCCCTCCACACACCCATTAAGCCTGGGGTCCTGGCAGAGCAGGGCAGATGCAGTGGGGAACTTAAGTTCTTGCCTCTGGGGCCTTAGCTCCCCAATCAGACAGCAGTCCCCTGCAACCCCTCCCCACCTCTCACCCTCCAACCAAGTACCATTGCTTGGACTCTGCTGCCACCCTGTGGGCATGGGGGGGTACTGCACTGGTGAGCATGCAGACACCCCGCAGTGGGACTCCAGCCCCACGTTAGGCTGCAGCTCTTGGGTTTGGAGCCCCTTAATCTCTTGCCAATACCAATCTTTTAATGACTTTGACTTGTCTTAAACACAGCAGCTTGAGGGATCCTATGTCTGATCATGCCCTCTGCTCAAAACCCTCTCATGGGGAGCTACTCCCAAGAGTCAAATTGTCAAATTTTATGGAATTTTGCAATTCATTTGTAAAACGTTCTTGAAAATTAAAATTTTGTTAAAAACAAAGATAGTATTCAAAACAAAGCACTTCCTATGTTAAGGTTTTGCTACATTCTGTATACTTTCACTCCTTCCATCTGTGGGATCTGGGGGGTTGAGACCCTGTACAATCGTGTGCTCTGTCCACCTGTCTTCAGGACTCCGTGTTCAGTGACCTCACGTTGACAGCTTTCAGCCAGCCACCAAGCCAGTGTTTACACCACAGAGATCGGCAAACACCGCGGATCAGGCTGAATTTATTGCTGACTTTCTAGACCAGGGCCATCCAATAGAAACAGAGTACAAACCACGTATGTGATTTCAAATCTGAGTAGCTAGATTTAAAACAGTAAAAGGAAACAGGTGAAATTAAAGTGTATTTTATTTAACCCAGTATGTCCAAAATATTGTCATTTCAACACGTAATCAATATAAAGTAACTAATGATATATTTTACATTCTGTTTCATACTAACTTCAAATTCTAGTGTGTATTTGACACTTAAAGCACATCTCAATTCAAACCAGCCACATTTCAAGTGTTCAACAGCCAAACTGTCCGGTGGCTGCCATATTGGACAGCACAGGTCTAGATTTAAGGAATCAGTAGAGAAAATAATGCGGATCAAATTTAATAGTAGTGCTGAGGCTGAGAAATTTCAATCCAATTAACACAGTTTGTTCCAATGATGAGAAATCAGTAGGCCATGTACAAGATTTAGTGACAGACTATCGGGAAAAGAGTAGTGTAGTAGGCTGGACAGTGGCCCCCACCCCCCAAATATTTCAGCTCCTAATCCTTGGAATTTGTATATTTTTTCACTTTGCGGATGTGACTGAAGATCATTACATGGGCAGATTATTTTTGATCGTTCAGGTGGGCCCTAAATCCAATCACTAGTGTCCTTGTGAGGGACAGGCAGAAGGGGATCTGGTACCCACAGAAGAGGCAGTCACGTGGCCACGGAGGCAGAGACAGGAGTTACCAGGCCACGATCAAGGAACATCAACAGCCACCAGAAGCTTTTAGAGGCAAGGACTAGAGCCTCCAGAAGGAGCGTAGTTTGAATTGTGATCTCAGCCCAGTGATCATAATTTTGGATTTCAGACCTCCAAACTGTGAGAAATAAATTTCTGATGTTTTAGCCACAAGGTTTGTGGTAATTTGTTACAGGAGCCCTGGAAAACTATTATCAGCAATGGGATCCAACTCCATTTGCCGTATCACGGTTGAATTACAACCACGGGCACGCTATAAATAAAAGAATCTATCAAAAAAGATCAACAAAAGGCTTCTATAAGGAACACTTGGCTATACAGAGCTAGAGTGTACTGTGTATTTTATTCGTAATTTCTGTGCTACACATCTTTCATGTTGGCCCAATTTAGAACAGCCATGTGTGTAAGAGATCTCATACCAGGTCTTGTATCCTCAGCACCCTGCACAGAGCCTGGCACACAGTAGGACACTCGTATTTTTGAATGAAGGGGACTTTGGGCCTCAACTTCCCCCAGCACAGGAGGCTTGGAGGAATGCGATGGGGTACCTAAGAAGGCAGGGCTGGTGCCAGATGTTGTTAGAGCACCTACTGTGTGCAAGACTGGGGTGGGGGCAGAGTCAGATTCATGGAGTCAGGTACGGAATCCCCACAGGCTTACGGACTACTCAGAAAATTAGTTTAGTCCAGAGATGGGATGCTTAGTCTCAGTGCTGGGCAGAGACTAAAGCCAGTGATACAGCAGGACCTATAAGGGCCGAAGCCCCTTCTCCTAGTCTCTCTGTCCCTTATTCCTGCAGAGCAAAGGGCCTTTTTGGAACTAGGAAGAGCCCAGGTGTGATTGTCACAGCTACTGTAGAGTTTCAGCTCCCCAGGCCTGCATATGAGCTCCCGTTCTATGCCTGAGTCAGGGGCCTGGGCCCTAGAGTGGGAGGTATCCCCCTCTGCCATGTAGTCTGGATGACTTTGAGCAAGTTACGATCCCTTTCAGCTCTAATGTCTCCTCTCTGGGGAAACTGTGGACCGGTCTACCCCCTCAGGCCCAAATAGTTATGGAGCATATGGAGGCTCTCCCCCAGTGCCCTTCATATCTTGTCACCGATTTGCAGGACTGAGCCCCAGCCTGTCACCTGCTCCCTCTAGAGTCTCTCTTCTCCTCTCTGAAATGGGCAGGTAAGTTACTTGCCAGGTCTCCACAGCAAAGAATTGGCCAGACTGGTTTGGGCACTGGAAATCAATGAGGGAGACTCCACACCCAAGCTGACCAGAATCCGGCAGCCAGGTCCAGGACCTGGAGGGACTAAAACCCTCTGGGTCCCAACCCCAGTGAACACAAACACATCTGGCTGACGCCTGTAACTGTATCCCACAACTCTGTAGTACACACCTTGAAAGCAAGGACCAAGACTTCTGCTCACTGATGAGGCCACAATGAGGGCTTGGCCAGAACATAGTAGGAACTCAAGAATTTGCTTAACGAGCAAAACCACTTGCCTTTTACAAAGGCCAGGCTCTCCCTGCCTTTGCTCACCCTGTCCCTCCTTCACTGGCACACATCCTATCTGATCACACCAAGGGGAAAGGGCTTCAAAATTCAGCAGGGTATGATCCTGGTTCCTGCAGGACCACGGCATCCTGGGCACCTGGACACGTGGTCCATCCTCCTTGGAGTGGGAGAGAGCACAGTAAGCAGAGGGCAAGTTCACCTTTGGCCCTCAGCCCTATTATCTCCCGTGAGGACCTGGATGGGCAAAGGACTCTGTGTGGCCTCCCCAGCCCGGGTTCAGAGTTAAGAAAATAAGGGGATTAAGGAAGCACCAAAGGCAAGTCCTCTCTTATAACAGTATCAGACAACTGTTTCAAAATATATTAGATTTGGTTTTTATTGTAGAGCACACATATCAGGGCAAAGTGCTGCACACACAACTACAAATCATTTTTGGGAAAAAAGCTGTAAGAAAAATAAACCTGCAACTGCTTTAGTTATGCAGTCCCGACTTGAATCCACGCTGGCAAAGGAGTTCTGGCCCCTGAGAGGGGGCTTCTTGATGACGGTTGCCCCAGACTTCTGCAGCCTCAGGCCTGGGCCTCTGTAAGACAAGGCCCCCTGGGGTGGTAGCAGCCTGGGGACTGGGAAAGCCTCTGCTCTCAGCAGGCCCAGGTCTCGGCCATGGCTGGCAAGGAGACATTCCTAATGAATCTAGATCATCAGAACCTTGCAAGGATCTGAGTAGGTGGGAACTGCCAAAAACTTTATTATCTTTTTCCTTTTATTACTTCTTAAAAGCCCCTTCCCCAGCTCCCACGCCCCTGAGGCAGAGGAGGTGCCAACCCAGTCTGCAGACCTGAGCTCTGGCCTTGGATGCATGCTACAGGCAGACAGAGCAGGTGGGCAGGCACCTTCCTATGGGGATGACATGGAGAGAAGGCCCCAAGCTGGCCAATGAAGGAGAAAGGAAAGGGTTAGGAAAAAGTCCGGAGAGCAAATGAAAAAATAACTCAAAAACAAAAGAAAACAAAAACCCTACCACACACCACAACAATTTTCCATACCCCAAATGCTAGACTTGGAAGGACACCAGTCCCTCTATCTAGAAACAATTCCTAAAACTGCCCCAACATGGTAAGTCTAACTGTTCCATACAATCACACGCATATGCTTGAAAGAAGCAACCCAGCAAAGACGTGTGCTCTTGGCAAGAAAGGTCAGGACCACTGTAGCCAGCCCCTCAGCAGCTCGGGGACCCATGGGCAGAGCAGGCCAGTGAACATGGAGGAAGCCCGGAGCTCAGCCAATAGCTTTGGGGTGGCAGAGGACTTTTTAAACCTCCACCCAGTCATCCTGAACAACTCTGCTACAGGAGGAAGAGGGTACTTGTGTAGGCTTCCAGGCCCTGGAGAACAGGTGAGAGGTGGGAGGACAGCAGGCCTCCAGCAGAACCAATAAGGAGCATGAGACCTCAACCCAGCACGCAGACACAGGTGGGAAGGGAAGGGACAGAAGACTGAACTTCATTTACAACACTGAGAAGATTTACATTTAAAGCAAAACAAGAATTTTCTTAACCAAAACATTTTGTTGCTTTTAAATAAACCCAGCCTGACAGCCCCACTTGAGGACAGCTGCCCCCCACATCTCTACTGGCCACTCCAGCATGAGCTTCTGTCCCCTACAGATGCCAACAGCCTTTCCATTTTGTAGGAAAACCGAGAACACGAGAATCAGGTCCCAGCCAAATCTGTTCTTCAGCCTTAACAGGCGACAAACCCGAGGAAAAAAATTCAGGATCAAAAAAACAAAAACCAAAAAATGAAAACAAAAACCAAAAACAAAAACAAAAACAAAACGGAACACCAAAAAACCGAAACGAACAAAAGGAGGGGGCAGCTACGTGAGGAGTAACCAGAGTTCCCAGGGGTGCACGGCACGCCTCAGTGCCTCCGCATCTTCACCTTGCGGGCGGGGCTGCCTGCCGCCTCCGAGCAGTCCTCCCCGGACTCATAGGACTTGCGCCAGTAGTTCTCAGAGCTGAAGCTACTTCTCCGACGGTGTGTGGGCAGCAGCACCGAGCGCCGGTTCTCTTCCTTGTCCATTTCTAGGATCCGAGGCCTGCAAGGGAAGGGGTGGGTGGAAGCGTTCCCTCACACCTCTGTGTCTGCGCTGGGCCCTCACCATCTGCGGGATGGTGCGCTCCAGCTCGGCGGTTCTCCAGGAGGGACAGTAATGGCAGAAACACTGGCATCGTCTCTTTGCCCACTAAGTGCAGTGGCCATACCTAGTCTCTGAAACACTTCCCAATTACCCTGGGGGGTCTGCTGAGTCGAGGACACCGCCAAGGCTGCTGGACAGGAGGCGGACTTCCCTAGTACAGCCTCAAGGCCCTGCCCGATCCCGCCATCACCTCCCCGCACTTTGCTCACCCACTCCACTAGGCCCTGACCAGCAAGCTCTTCCTGCCTCAGGGTTTCAGCCCAGTACCTCTTGCCTAGATGGGCCTTCACGTACGGCTTCCTTATCCTTCTCATCTCAGCTTAAACACATCCGCAGAAGTCTTCCCCAACCCTTCTGAAATGGGTCCCTGGTCTGCTATCTTCCACATCCCCAGCTTCCCTCCTAATATTTAAGCACTCATTAGAGTATTTGTCTGGGTGGAAGGAACAAGGGAAGTCATGGGAAGCCCAAAAAGCCTTCCCACTTGTCAGAATCTCAGCCCAAGCCCTGCTCTCTGAGGGTGTAGGCAGCTGGTCACAGGCTAGGTGAGAATGCCGCCAATTCCACTGACCTAGAAGCAGACATTAAGGCTTGGAAAAGTGGTCAGTGCCACGCTTCTAACCACATACCCCAGGTTTCCCCCACCTATTTCACCCTGAGGCCGGGCCATGGGGCTGCTTTGTTGGCCCCTGTTGAAGGTTCCTAAGCTGAGTACCTGTGGGCGGCATCAGGGTCTGCCTTGCGATGGGACCGCTTGGGTTTCAGAGCAGGGTCCCTGTTGTTTCCCGACAGACGATCTGAAGCATAGCTGGGTGGTAACACAGAGCTGCTCAAGGACTTTGTTTCCAACCGGGGTGCGTCTAATCTCGTCCTGCAAAGGAAACACGCATGGGGTCACCAGTGGACCTTGGGGAGGGAGTGGGCCCCATGAGACCCATTCTCTGGCCAGGGAGAGGGGAGCCAGCAGCCTCTGCTCTGTGCCTCAGTTTCTTCATAGTTCAACTAGGTCTGGCTGACTTGCAAATATCTGCCTTCTTACATTCAGGCTTAGGAGTAGGAAGAGGAACATTTCTATTTGGAGACCTCTAGTGATAGGGATCTGCTGCACCAGGGGAAAGATCCAGGGCTCGCTCGCTCTCAGTTGGACAAGCAGCCCCACTCACCCTACTCCAGCCCAGAGGTTCTCCAGGGGCTTCTACTCCACCTGCCAGAGTCCTGAGGGCCCCCAAATACTCCAGCAGATGCCCTCATCCTTCCTGAAATATCAAGACAGGAAGGAAGGTTCCCCTGGTCCAGGCCTACAAAAGGAAAAGAGACTCTCCCACTCTCTTACACAGTAACACTAAAGCTATGGGAGAGCCAGGGAAGTCCAGGCCCAACTCAACATTCACACACTTGGCTCTGATCTCACCACAGCCACCTGGCAGCTTCTGCTGGTTACAGGATGCTAACCAAGTCAAGGCCAAAGGGCTTTTGAAGACAGAATCCCCGCTGAGCACTAGGTCTGAGTTTTAAGGAACATGCTGCCCAATAAAGGGAAAACATGGAAGTGTGGACGGGGCAGTGATCGGAGTCCTTTATAAAGCCAGGCCAGGAGGAAGTTAAGCCTGGGAAACCTTGAAGAAACCCCAATTCCTGTGTGATACAGAGAAGGCTGGCAAGTCAGGCTGGTACCAGCAAGGGGCAGGAGAAGCCTGGTTTGGGGAGTGATGGGAACACATCTGGCAGAAGGCCCTAAAGGTACCCTTCCTGTAGGCAGCTGTGCACAAAATAGTCACTTGGTTCTGAGGAAGGTGCTGTGGTCAGAGCAGAGCACCTTCACAAGAACACTGCAGGGAAGACAGCAGGAGGGAAATCCAAGAGCTGCCCTGGCCTAACCCACACAGTGTTCTTTTAACAACTGCATGCAAAACTCACAGATCCCTCTACCTACCTCCAACTGGCTGACCTGCTGTAAACAGATGGGGAAAACTAGATCCCAAAGGTTATGGTAATTCACGGGTCCTGGAAGTCGTGGGAGAAAAGTTTAAGCCCAGGTGAGATTCCAAACAAGCCTAATAACAAGCTGGAACCACAGGGCTCTGACCCCGGGCAGCAGTTTTTCTCCTGAAGCCAGCAGGGGGCGCCTTCTAGCTGGAAACCAACATTGTAACACCATCAGGCCCAAAGTGGTGGGCAGACCAACAGAGCAATTTCGCCTGCCTGCCTGCTTTGGCCTTATGTACACGGAAGCCAGAACAGTCAGCTGTACTCACTGGCCCACCAGTCTCGGCCTCCACTCTGGGCCCTCCAGGCTCAGGGAACCAGGACCTATCTAGCAGCAAAAGGAAGAAGATCCAACCCTAATGGTGCCACTTAGAATCCAAGCTAATCACCATCCTTTTCTGGGCCTTCTCCATCTAAATAAAGTCAGGAGAAATGTGGCTGTCCCTAGGTCCTCCTTCAGTTCTAAGAGTCTAGAAATCAACTGGCCTCCTTCAAGGCTAGGACTTTCAAGATTTGGGGGGGGGGGTTGGCGCCTAGGTGGCTTAGCTGGTTAAGCGGTGTGCCTTCGGCTCAGGTCATGATCCTAGAGTCCCGGGATCGAGCCCCACGTCCGGCTCTCTGCTCAGCAGGGACCTGCTTCCCTTCCTCTCTCTCTGCCTGCCTCTCTGCCTACTTGTGATCTCTGTCTGTCAAATAAATAAATAAAATCTTTAAAAATAAATACATAAAATCACAAAAAAAAGTTTAAAAAATATTTTCTTAAAAGATTTTATTTATTTACTTAAAAAGGGGAGGGGTTGCAGAGGGAAGGGAGAGAAAGAGGGAGGGAGGGGAGAAGCAGACTCTGCTGAGCAGGAAGCCAGACTGGATTCCAGACCTGGAGGTAATGACCTAAGCTGAAGGCGCCCGTAACCGACTGAGCTACCCAGGCACCCCTCACGTCTAAGATTCTGGAGAGGGGTTAAGGGGAAGAGATGATGCCAGGTAACACCCAGACACAAGGGTGGGAATCAGAAGTCACTGGAGCCCAAGGACCTCCTCTTTAGCAGGTCAGGCCTCATCCCCCCCATTATGGGTGCAGAGCCGCTGGAGAGGTTAGGAGACAGGTATGAGACTAGACAGGCCAAGAACACAGACTGGCTCTGCTCCTCTCTCACTGCCTGAAGGAGGGGAAGGGGGTTCTGCACATGACAATACCGCTGCCATCAGGATGCAGCCTCAAGAGAAGAGATGATCAGGAGGTGGCCCTCCAAAAAAAATCTCTGCCTCCTGTACCTACTTCTGAGACAGTATAAGCTCTGGGGCCCGAAAGTGCTCCTGGGGCTTTACAAGTACATCTCAGAATAGTTGGAGGAGTTTCTGCCCTCCCTCCATTTCCAAAAAGCTACCATGCTGCAGGAAGCCAGGCTAGAGCAAGATCCCAAACCCAGTGCTCACTGCTAGCTTAATTTCTGAGAACAGCCCTCTTAAAAGGCAGCTAGCTTTCAAGGAGCATGCTCGACTCCTCAGGGATCAGCAAACATATCCATAAATTTCTGAAGTCAGGAAGTTCTAGCAGTAAGGGCTGGGCCTGGGTCTCCTCAGGTGACAAGAGGCAAAGAGACCTGGCTTACAGATCTGAGTCAACATCCAGGGGTTACAGAAAGGCACCCCAGGTATATGAGGTCACCCAGGCATCAGGACACCCCCAGGACAAAAGCAGGGATTGGGCAGAGGTACTTGGGAAGCCAAACCAAAGGGAGGATGACTGAGCATTAGTATTACCACATTAACATGTGACCTGAGGATGAAGAGAGGGGGGCTGACCATCCCAGGAGCTCTCCTCATGTTCCTTTATTACTCACCGAATCCTCTAATCTTCTGGAGAAGTGGCTGAGGAGGACTATTCCCACTGTAAGGATGGGAAAGCAATACTAATTGGAGACCAAGTCGTTGGCCTAAGCCACACAGCCACTATCCCATGAAGGCCTCTGAAGGTAGGCTCGCTGCACTACAACAAAACAGACTGCTGTCCAGGCAGACACCATTTCTAGGAGACCAGGAACCAGCCTGCGCCTCAGGCCAACCATCCCTCAACTTCTGGCTCCACCCTCACACCAAGCACCCTTGCGCTTACAAAGCCGGACAGTCCCAACAGAGCAGAGAGGCAGCGTGGCAAGCCTGTCTGAGCACCCCTTGTCTACTGAGTGACCTGGGCCTCTAGGTCTAAGCTCCAGCACCAGAGTGTCAGATTCCCACAAAGCACAGACCTGTACCATTGTCTCTCCTGCAATGGCATTCAGACCTCCTGCCACCACTCCCCATCTTCCACCAAACTCCTTCCAACATCACACGTCGCTGCCTGCAAGGCAGTTCTGACCCTAGCAGGCTTCCACACCAGTCTCAAAGAGCCTAAAAAGCATGCGAGGGGTATAACCCAAAGAGAGGGCACCCAAGGCCCATGGTCCTAGCAAGGCTTCCAGAAGACCTCCATACCCAGGCCTGCAAGATAACGAGGCCCCAAGGGCCTCTCCAAATCATTCAACCCGATTACCAACATGTCATACCACGTACTTGTAACTCAGGGCTCCAGAAGGGAGTGCTGCACAGATGATAGCCAGACAACAGGGCCAGCATCGCGGGTGCCCAGGAAGCTCCCATTCAGGCCTGGTAAGGTACTGATATCCTCCACAACACCAGGCAGTCAGACAACAAGCTTGCTTTCCCTGGCCTGGGCTAGTAAACAACCTATCTCCAGGTTCCCTTTCCTCTCATTCCCTGTGCCTGTACTCTTACCTTACCTTGACTGGACACAGCCTTCCTCATCCCCTACCCCTGACTCATCAAATTCAGAGGCAGTATGGTGAGGAAGGGGCCAGGAGAAGCAGGCACGGCATTCTTCGATTTAACCATCCCTAGCACCACCGCTGCCCCAATTTATGTGAAAACACAGGGCCGAAGTAACCAGTTGTCTTCAGTGAAGACAGGGCAGGGCCGGCCAGGAGCCTAAGCCAGTTTCATCTCCAGGTGGTCTTACTGCTCTCACACTCCTTGTGCAGGATAAATGCACATGCACAAACATACTCGCTGGGCCAGGAAACTGAGGTGGGCTAACTCTTGGCCCAGGGAATGAGAATCTTGTGAGACAAAGCAATGGCACATGTCTTGATGGGGGCAATGTCAAGGAAGCCAAGAGCTGGCCACCCCTGCCCCGACGGACGAAGCCCAGAATGCACCCTTCATTCCCACCCTCCCCTCATCACAGAGCCTCATACCTGGGCTACTCTGCTTTCAGGAACAGTCTCCCCCTGACCCCTGCAAACCCCTGGTCTGAAGGACCAAATAAGCCATTTAGCTCGGCTGCCTACAATCTCTCTCATGCAAATCCCTCACCCCACTGCTTCCTGGCACACACCAGCCTTGGTTAACATTTGGCAAATGAACCTCTAGCTGCTCTTCCCAGCTTCAACCCACTGCGCTGAGCTCCCTTAGCAAAAAGCAAAGAAATGGGCGATTAACACTGCCTTGAGCCACTTTATCTGATTAACTGGAGATTAGCTGTGCAGGAATATAAGGTCTTATAAGCAGACCAGGGCAGCCCGGGGTGTCTCCTGAAGGCCAAGGGACTGGGTGCCCTGGCCACCAACTGAAGGCTCTGAAGGCCCACAACCCATCTGTGATGATCAAGTGTTGATCCAAGACCTCCTTCCCACACCTCCCTGCAACTACAGAGATCCTCTATACTTTGTACCTTCTAGCCTTTGAGCTGTTTTTGTGTTTCTGAAGAATTTTTATTTAACTGAGAGAGAGAGAACGCGCACATGGAGGGGCAGAGAGAGAAAAGCAGACTCCCATTGAGCAAGGGAGCCTGGGATCATGGCATGAACCCAGGAGCCTGGGATCATGACCTGAGCTGAAGGCAGACACTAACCGGCTGAGCCACCTAGTAGTCCCAGGCTTACCACCTCTGCCTGGCCGGCAATTTCTAGTTCAGGAGTCAGATCCACCAATCCTGTCCCAACCCATCCCCAACCCCTACCAAGCTGGATATAACTACTAAATCTGTTTGCTGCTGCTCCTGTTTGCTGGGCTCCAGCAGATACACTTTGTGGTTTTAAGACAGTGTTTACTCTGGCGGTGGTGTACTAGCATGTAAAATGCCAGCTCCGTTACACACCAGCAGACCCGGGTTCAAGGTCTTCCTCAGCCATTTACTGGCTGTGACCCCGAAAGGACTGTAGTACTGAGCTGCAGCCGAAGGATTCCACTCATGGGGAAACTCTCAGGTGATCACTCCCAGCCTCGAGTCTTCTCTGTGACAAACAATGGTGCCACACACATGAAGACTCACATTCAAAGATGCCACACTGCGTTGAATCAAAAAGCACTTGGTGGCTACCCACCCATTTCCCCCCATGAGGCGTTTAGGACTGTCCCAGCTCTGACTGACCCGAGCTGGTGACAGAGCCCCTAGGCCCTCCCACAACAGCCTGTGCAATTTTTATCCAAACTTAAGAGAAGGCAAGACTGGCTCCATCCCCTCTGCCTATGGAGCAGGGCCAGGCTCAATGCCCAGATTCCACCCACCCAGATGTGGACTCACCAGCAAGCGAGTCAGCCAGGTGCCCATCAAGACCACATCCTTAATGCCTGGGCAGTGCCTGGGCCAGGATGCTCCCTTTTTCATCCCGTCACCAGCTCGTCCTTTTCTAAGACCAGCCCATATAGCTACTCTGGAGCTGCTCCTCATTCACCTGCGTTGTCCCCCTCTGGTATCTCCTCTGGGCTGGGCCTCAGTGCTGGGCCTGGATGAGCAGGGTCCCCGTCCCCACAGAATGCAGATTTGGAAATTCACAATGGCAAGTATACGGGTTCTAACGGTCTAAAGAGGGAGGGGATACGCTGACAGGGCTACAGGTATGTGTCTGATGCTTTCTGCGTGTCAAAACAGTCAGCACCTGAGCCTTGAGGGATGGCTAGGTCAACCAACTTTCACTGTGCATAGGTGGGTCATTTGCAGGGTAGGATGTGGAGGAAGATGAACATGTTGATGGGAAAACATTTCCAACAGAGGTCACACTGTTGCAAGGATCCAAGCCCGTGGACCACACTAGGAGCTGCAATACTTTAACGTAAGTGTGGAGGACAGGACAACAAGGAAAACTCCCAAAAGGTTAGGCTGGATGGACAGGCAAAGCCCAACAAGGAGCCTGGTGTTTATCCTGGGCCTCTCATCTGGTCCCGAGTTGTCTCTCTACAGCTGGGCGGTATTCTAGCTCAGCTGACCCAGGAAAGTGGAGGGCCATCCTCCCATTCCTCTCCAGCCCCCTCATACCAAAGCTCTGTGCTTCTGCAGTCTAACCCAGTCTGTGGTTGGCTCCTGGGCCCATTCAAGTTGGTAGATGACTGATGCTCTTTGACCTTTCAACAGCCATTCTCCAAAGTCAGACCACTGCCAGGAGCCCAGATGGCCAAAGAGCTTCCAGGGGGACCTGGTTAACAGTGCAGGCTCCTAACTCCACTGAGAAGCGTCCAACCCAGCCAGCCTGAGATGTCAAGTAAGGGAGCCACTGCCGAAGAGGAAGGAAACAGCTGGAAGAATGACCTGACACTCCAGCTATGGCCACTTCACTTGTACCTCCAGTGAAGATTTCCCTAGGATAAGCTATTTTGAGAGTCTTGCAGGGAACACCTGGGAAGTTGCTGCTCTGGTTTTGTATCACCCTGGGAGTTCCTCTCCAAGCTCCTGGACTAGGTGGGGCACTTATCCCTGGCTGCAGCTCAAGTGCCAGTATAGCCCAGGAAGAAATGACTGGGGAGAAGAGGCCAGAAGGGAGCTACACTCTGGACAGCATCACTTCCGTGTTCTGGGTTTTGGCCTGTGCTGGGAACCACAAGAAAAGAAAGCAGAAAGGCAGATAAAAACCCTTCTTCTGATGAATTCTGGGAATATTTGTAGGCTAGAGGCCAGACACTGCCAGCTCCTGTACAGACTCCCGTCTGCAGCTCCCACATGTGCCTGGTGCTCTGCCTGCACCCCAGGATCATCCTTTAGGTCTCTATCATTTCCATGCTACACAGGTACAACAGATACTCGAAGTTTTGACTTGACAAAGTAGCGGAGACATGCCAAAGAGACTTCATCCACCACATTATGTTGGCATTCTAAGACCCAAAAGGCCGAGATGCTTTCAGTTATAAACTGAAGCTAAAAAGATGATAAGTCAGGGGTGCCTGGGTGGTTCAGTGGGTTAAGCCCCTGCCTTCGGCTCAGGTCCTGGGATTGAGCGCCACACTGTGCTCTCTCCTCAGTGGGGAGCCTGCTCCCCCCGTCTCTCTGCCTGCTGTTCTGGCTGCTTGTGATCTCTGTCAAATAAATAAATACAATCTTTAAAATAAATAAAAGATGGCAAACCAGAAAATAAGGATGTACTTAAAAGAGAAAGAAAGAAAAAAAAAAGAGAGAAAGAACTCCTAATGGCCAAAGCTGGCACAGCTGGAGCATAAAACAAATACCCATAAATTCATACTGACGTAAGTAAACAACTGAATAAAGACGTAAATGAATGAACAAGAGAAGAAGAAACAAAATCTCCTTGCAGAAGAATTCCAAATAACTTGGGTGGCGACTCCCCGCTCAGGGAGCTGGAGCTAACTCCCCACTGCTTATGGGCCGGCTGCGCACAGAGACTTCCCTCCTACCCCAGGGGAAGCAGCAACTCTAGAGCGCAGAGCGCAGCCAGTGGACACAACCTCAGCCCGGTGTTCCTAGTCACCGTCAACAGTGAGAAGTCCTGTGCCCTGGATAGGACGGAAGACGAGCGGGCTTCACCTCCGTGGTCTTCCTCCCCCAAACCCCGAGCCGCAGTAGAACCAGGAGAAAAATGCCAAATTCCAACGGAGAGATATTCTACAAAATATCTGACCAGTGATATCATGAATAAGGCAAGTCCGAGAAAGTGTGACAGCCAAGAGGAGCCTAAGGTGATTGACAACTAAATGTAATGTGGGGTCCTGGCACAGAAGAAGTATGTCACGAGGAGACTAAGGAAATCCCAATACATAGGAACTTCAGTTAATAATAATATATCAATTTGCTTTCTTGACTATAACAAACATATCTTACTAACATAAGATGTTAATATCAGGGCAGCGGTGCTTGGAGTACAAATGACGTTTATTTACATTAAAAGAAGAAACAAAAAGATGGCCAGCTACAGGACACTGTGTTCTAGCCGGTGCGGAGGGTGGGGGGTGTCCCGGCACTGGTTCTGCTCTCCTCACTGTCATCCGTACAACCCTGGACAACCATCTAGCCTCTTGCACTCCACTCTAAAGACAAGCCTGTCTTGCCCCAGCATCCGCTTGGTTCAGTCCATTCATCCCGTGAGCAGAAAACCAGAAGTGCGGAAGAGGCCAGGACTGGTGCTACTGGCCAGTATATCCCTGACTTCCTGGCCAGAGAGGAGAGACCGCCACAAGCTATACACCTGCTAAACACTGGAGCCTAACCTCCCACCTTCGTTTCCTCTTCTCACTCCCTGCTCCTCCCAGAAGTGAAAACCCAGGCATTTTTAAAGCAGGCTGCTAAGGCGCAGTCTAAAAATAATCAGCAAGATCACATGTGACAAATCAGAACCAAAGAGATGGGGGAGGGAGGTCTGGAAGAGGGGTCCCTAAATCTTGTCTCAAAACTGTATCCATAAACACAGGGAGCGTACGCTTTTGCTCAGCCCCCAACTCCCTAGTTAAACAACCACAGAACTTAATTTTCCAATGAAGAAAAGACAAAACAGCTTTTTCCTCAAAGAATTAAAATCAAAAAGTAGGAGACCTGATAGCCTTTTCCTCTCCCAGGCTTCATGCTGCTATGCTATTGATACAGAGGAGCCAAGTTCTAAGGGAATCCAGACCTACATCTCCAGACATGCCTGCAGGTGCCAGACACCGGGGCACTTACTTCCTGAGGATGATGACCGCTCTGCGCTCCTTGATGTCCTGAGGCCGTATGCAGTGAGTGATTTCATCAGCAGCATATCCACTGAAAATAAACACAGAGCATATGAGCTTGGAAAGTGAACAGACAACCAAAGTTCACAGAGGGTAAAGAGAGAGAAATATGGTCCAGGTCTTATGGACACCGCTGCCATGTTATTTTGAGAGGTTCAAGGATCTACGTGGAAAGGGAATTCATCTGTTAAGATCCAGGATACGCCACTCAAGAAAAAAAACCTGGGATGAGGCAAAGACAAGCCTGAAGGTATAAACCACAGCAGCAATCTCTCCACACAAGCCAAGAGGCCTTCTTTTACAGGGCTCCCAAGAAGGTACACCTTTAATCACTCTGGAGGCAGCTAGAGTGACTCAGGCCAAACCTTGGTGAGAAGACAAGAACTCCACCTCCTCCTCTTCTCTGCCCCCCCCACCCTTCAGCACAAAGAGGAAGCCTAGGCAGACACTGACAGCCCTGAGTCACCAGAGAGAACTAAGGCTGCAATGTTTAAAAAGACAATTTGTCTACTTGAAAACAAGCTTTCAAAAACCTCCATTTGGGGGGATCCAAAAATCTTGAAGACAGCTGTGTTTGGGATATTTTAAGAATTCCCATCACACTCAAATATCTATTTATTTTCATCAAGTTACACAATTTAAAAAACTGCTTAGACCAATGAATGTGGGTAGATGACTGTCCTCTTCACAGCTACCATCTTTCTGATTTGAAACTCTGGAAGCAAACTCAGCATCCTGAGCCTCCTCACATGCCCTCGCCAGGAGCCTGGCACCCAAGAGGCACTCCCACCCCAAGTTCCTCCACAGAGCTGAGGCAGGGCTCTACACAGCCAGACCCACGCTCAGCCACAGGCGTAGTGGGAGGTGAACACCTCGCCTGGTCTCGCTCAGCTTTTCCCTGGCCACCCCTAGACCGCAAATCTTCCTCTCCATGGCTGCTCATCAGCTCCCTTCTCAAGGGCAACTAAAAAGACAACCATGTAACTGTTAGAAACACTGCAGGCCTGGGAGGAACTCCTCAAAATGGCCAGGCTGCCCCAATGTGGACAAGAACTAGAAGCAAGCCAAATAAAAAAATAAGTCCAATAGGGGGGAAAAAAAAAAAAAACCCTCTGCTTTGAGGCCATGCTGGGAGAGACAAAACCTTTATTTTATTATTACTTTTTAAAGATTTTATTTGTCAGAGAGAGAGACACACCCACACACACACCATGCATGTGACCGTGCGTGTGCACACAAGCAGAAGGAGTGGCAGGCAGAGGGAAAAGCAGGCACCCTGCCTGATGTGGTACTCAATCCCAGGAGTTTGGGATCACGACCTGAGCTGAAGGCAGACCCTTAATCGACTGAGCCACCCTGGCATCCCCAGAACCTTTATTTATTTGTTTGTTGCTTGCTTTTTAAACAATTTTTTTTTTTAAGATTTACTCATTTGACAGAGAGAGACACAGTGAGAGCTGGAACAGAAGCAGGGGGAGTGGGAGAGGGAGAAGCAGGCTTCCCACGGAGCAGGAAGCCCAATGTGGGGCTTGGTCAGGACCACGACCCCAGCTGAAGGCAGCTGCTTAACGCCTGAGCCACCCAAGCGCCCCTAATGTATTTAAGATTTATTTATTTATTTGACAAAAACAGAGAGAAAGAGCACAGAAGCACAAGCAGGGAGGGCAGCAGCATGCTCCCTACTGAGCAAAGAGCCCGATATGGGGCCTGATCCCAGGACCCTGGAATCACGCCCTGAACCGAAGGCAGATGCTTAACTGACTGAGCCAACCAGGCGCTCCCAGAACCTTTACTTTAAAGATTCCTTCTCTGAGCTGCTCCTAGACCAGAGGTTTTCAATTTTCTCTGTGAACATAAGTCCTAGAAGAGACTATGGATAAGTGTCCACAATCAAATCAACGTGGAAAATATTGAAGAGTTAAAAAAAGCACGACTATGTTAAGAGATCTGAGAATTACTACAGCAAAAGAATCTGCTGACTTTGTTTAATTGAGCACTGACTAAAGAACCTTCTCTCAGATAACACCTATTAATATCTGTAGGTCTACAGTGAAAAATGCCACACAGAGCTAGAGGAGTTGAAGAGGCCTGAGTGAGAATTTGAGTTTTGTTGCCTACTAGTGTTGTGACCTTAGGGAATTCACTTGCTGGGCACCTAAACCTGTTTCTTCATCTGAAATAAGGACAGAAGTAGGTTTTGGGTGTTCACTTTGTTATGCTTTACAACTTAGGTATTCTTTTATGACCACTAATAAGATAATAAGATTTTCTATCTTATTTGAGAGAGAGAGAGAGACACCATGGATGCGATGCACAGAAGTGGGGAGGGGAGGCTGATGGAGAGAGAGAATCCCAAGATGACTCTGTACTGAGTACAGGGCCCAACACCGAGCTTGATCTCATGACCTGAGCTGAAATCAAGAGTCAGATGCTTAACCTACTGAGCCACTCAGGCGCCCCAATTTTAAGATTTTAAAAAGGAGGACACTGCCTCTTCCCTTGAAGGGAGAATTAGAGTTCTATGACTACATGGCTGGTACCCCCTAAAACCTGTAGGGCTGTTGTGAGAATTAACTTAGATAATGCACTGTGCCTGGCACAGCATTCCCATTTACTAAGCACAGGACACAGGCCAGAGGCCCTGGACCACCCTAGGGGAAGCTAGAGACTTGGGTTCAGTACATGCCAAGGAAATGAGATCTGGGTTCCTCTTGCGGGGATCTGCCAGCAGAAGAGGCCTCATGGGCCCCATTCCCCAGAACTAGTTCTAGAGCTCGTTCTAGGCTCTTGTCACTCCAAACTGGGAGAATACAGGTGTAGGGTGCAAGACAGTCCTGTATGAACACAGGACTTCCCCCAAAGAGCTAAGTCCAATTCCCCAAAGGTAATCCAAGGCACATTTCTAAAGCCTGAACCTGAAGTACTGGCCACAGGCAATCTTTGCTACTATTAATAAGTATCAGTCTGTTTGACACGGCTATAGGCAACTGGGGCCCTCACCTCCCATATTCAGGAAGGAACCACTCCCCTTAATGCAGAAGGAGTAAACCCAGATGTCTGTCAAAACTTACCTGCCCAATACATTATATGTTAATAAAAAAATTTAAATTTAAATTAAAAACAAACAAACAAACCTTAACTGCCCCCACTGCCCAAGGGCTCCAGAATTGTGCCACTGAACACAGGCCTCAGAAGAGCTAGTGCAGAGGGTAAGACCACCTGGAACCCCAGAAATGACCATGTCACTGAATGCACCTGAACAGCTCATTAGCACCGGTCTTCTAGAACTTCGTGGCAGCTGTGACATGGCCCACTGACCCCTCCTCAGTATCTCAGGCTCCTCTGGGAGCAGGAGGCGTTAAGTCCTGGCCAAGGAAGCTCTTCTGGCTAAACTTCAACAGAAAATGTTCAGCAGAGACCACAGAGGATTACTTACTGCTAAGGAACCTACTTACCACAAGAGAAACTATCTGCAAGTCCCAGTCTGCCAGCTTGAAACTTAATATGCCCTGGGTCCAGCCCTACCCTTGGCATGAAGGAAAGTGCCAATGCCTCCTGCTCTGTTTTCACAGGGAAAGGAGAAGAGGAAATACTTCATGTTGGTCAGCCTTCTGCTCCCTGCCTGGGTTGAGCCGTTTCAAGTTCCCCCCACACCATGTAGCAGTGACCAGCACCACAAGCATCAAGAGTGACAGACTTGGCTCTGTAATCCACTAGCACTATGCCTTACAGTGACTCTTAAGAGTCTTTCCTCTCCACAGGGAAGCTTTCCTCAAATCCCCCAGGATGGGTTTCCCCCACACCAACCAACCACCCACCCACCCACCCTCCTTTACTATTATGTCTGGCCCTGTGGAAACTGTGTTTTCCCCATAAGACAAAGTGCTGCAAAGGCCTTATTCATCTCTGCACTCAATGGACACTAAATGAAATGTGTGTTGGGCTCAACTATTCTGTTCCTACATCTACAAAAAAAAGTTCTCACAGCAAATCCTTCCTTAGAGGATTAGGTGCAAGTTAAATGAGGAGTCTGAAAAACTCTAAGGGACTGTGCAGGACTGTACATCTCTCCTCTAGGGAACAGTTTTGGAGACAATGTTAAGGCAAATTTCCAAGACAGCGACCGTTCTCCATCCACTCTCTGCCCTGCCCGGGACAGAACAGAACCAGAGGTGGAGGGACGGGCCAAGATCACCAGCACTGCCAGACAACCTTCCTTCAGCCATAGCTACCTGCTCTGGGCAGCCCCCACAAGCTTGCCTCACACTCCTAATGGGCCTAGAGGATTAAGAAACTTAGGCTTTGGGGAACAGCAGGTCAGCCACCTGGGCACAGGGCTGGGATTGTGAGCTCACGATCATTATAACCAGATCCAACCTTCTAAGAGGACACACGGCCTAGCTTTATGAGAAGTCCTGGGACTTTATGAATACAGAAGGAAGGTCAACCTGTTCCAGGTCCCAATTCTCTCCACATCAAGGTATAATTAGAGAGTAGCTAAGCACAAAAAGTAGCTCATCTTCAGAGACATTTTACCTAAACTTCAAGCATTCAACAACGTGAAATTCAATCTCCATTAACAACTCCATGCCATCAATAGCCCATTTTGCAGAGAAAAACTAAGGCCCGGAGAGGTTAAGTTACTTACCCAAGGTCAAACAGCTAAAGTCTTCTAGAACTTCCTGGCAGCTGTGACATGGCCCATTGACCCCCTCCTCAGTAACTTAATTATAAAGTGGTGACGCTGGAGCTCTAATCAAACTCTTGATTTCAGTATCGACGCTATCCTGGTTTTTGGTTTTTTGGTTGGGGGAGGAGGTAGGTAATAAGGAGTAGAGAGAAAATCCGATCTGTGTTTTCTGGTAACAAGGTCCAATCTATCCTAAGGACCTCACTGGCCTTAGAAAAGGACATTTAATACCTACCACCCCCAAGGAAGAAGTCTGCAAAGATGAGCCCATGCCTCCAGAGAGCTAGCACCGTATCTCAGCAATGGCTGAACACCAACTCCCCAGGAGAAAATGGCCAGCCAGCCCTGAAACCTGTGCGGCCTGTTTACTTTCTGCTTGCTCTGAGCTTCATGATTAAGACCATGGTTTACCTGCTAGCCTCCTTCCCGCTGCTGCTGCTGCCTTCTTGTTAGGCCTGGCAGAACCAAGGCCAGCCAATCCCCTTGGCCCAGAGCTCCCCCTAAGAACGCACAGCACAGCCCTGACTTCATCCTGAGGTTTCTCCCCGTCCCATGGAATCAGACTGCACACAAGAGATGTGGCCCAGGACCTATCTGCCCTACTTTCCCAACTATTTTAAGCCAGAAAGCTAAATATTGCTATCAAACGCTGAATAAGATCAGCCCTTAGCCCAGAATGAACAGGGGTGCCCACTCCACCCAATATTAGTTTTTACCTAGAAGGCATAGGCTGTGCCCACCTCTGCATGTCCCATGGCTGGGTGGTAACAGTCATTTCCAAACAGGTGGCTAATAAGGCCTGGGTCTCTGGGCATGCGGCCACAACCACAGACCACAGAGCAGTGATTAAAAGTAGCAGCAAGTAAGCAATTAGCCTTGAGGTAATTATTCTAATTAATCCAACTAAAATGTGTTTTAATCTGCCCCTTCACCCTACAGAGAACAGGAGAAAGAATGTGAAAAGAACTGATAGAAAGAGGTGAAAGATACTTATTTCCCTGGAGAACAGTATTAAGAGGGGAACCAACCAGGCCCAACATGGGAAGGTCACAAAAAGAACAACAACAACAAAAACTGGGTTTGGAAAGACACTTAAAGCACTTTCAGAAGGGTCTGTGAGGCACTGCTCTAAATGCCCACATTTGGGCACTGCTGAGTCAATGTTTGCCACATGCTAACGTCTACACTGACAACTATTACACATAAAACAGTATTCCTGCCATGTAGCCTTGGAACGGGTATAGACTCTACTGCCACCAACAACTAATGTCTGAGTCACTGAGAATTACTAAAAACCCTCCCCACCTGCAGAGAACCACTATCTTCATCAGCCCCCATGTTCCAATCTACAGCTTTACAGCTCATCACTTCTGGGCTGGGATACATACCAGAAGTCAAAGAAAGCATCCCCTCTTACCAGCCTGGGGAAAAGCCCAAGGAGCACTTAAAGAGGCACTACTAACAGACAGGTGTTCACCCACCTGCATACCAAGTAAACAGAGTACACCAAGTAAGCAGGTGCTGGAAAATTAAAATTAGTGGGAGCATCCAGAACCCTAGAGCAGTGGCTCTTAATTGGAAGGATTTTTGCAGCCCTACCTACCCCAGGATAGCTGGCAATACCTGGGAGACATTTTTGGTCACCATGAAGATGAAACTGCTATTTCGTAGACAAAGACCAGGGATACTATTAAACATTCTGCAATGCACAGACCAGCCCCTACAAAACGAAGCATAAGCCAACCCAAAATGTCAACAGTACTACTACCGAGAAGATCTGATGTAGTGTTTTGCCATGGCACGCCTCGCCAGACTCTCTATCAGGTCCAGGTTGAATGGGAGAACTAAAATCGAATTCCATCAGCTTCAAGTTAGCATCTACCTGCCCCCCCCCCCCTTTACCTATGGCTACTCTCTGCTACTGCCACCAAAGCTTCCGTGCTCTCCCTGCTAACTTCTTTTGTTTGGCTAACTTCTAGTCACCCTTCACGTTCTACCTTATTTCCTCCTAAAAACTTCTAACACTCCAAAATGGGTTCCCCCACCTTCAAAGTACTCCTGCAGTTACTTTCCTGGGCTGTAACTGCCCGTGGCTTCCACTGGGCTGTGAACTCCATGAAGGGAAGAGCCATGCTGTAGGCTCCACCAAATGCCTAGCCCTTTCCCCAACAAGAGAGCAAGAGAAAATGGTTGTGTATGAAAGCAAATATCCACTTAGGTGCCTACTCCGTGCCAGGCTCTGTATAAACACCCAATCACCGTGTTTAGTTCTAACAGGTTTTGGAAGTTGGCATTACCCCCACTTTACAGACAGGAAAGCCAGCTCAAAGAACACCCACAAGGTGCCAAAGCAAATGACAGCCGAGCTAGAATCAAAGCCTGGGGCAGCACTTTTCAGGATATGGCTGAGCCTCCCACATTAACTCTACAGCCAAGTCAGAATCCAGGAGTTGGAAGAGCCTGGGAAAGCTTTAGGACTTTACTATCCCAAGGAAAAGATGAAGAAAATTTTCCTGATGATGCAATCCTATTGATCACTAGCAGACCTGCATTTTAAGAACTTGAAACTTCTGCTCTTCAATACAGCAGGGTGTGTGTGTGCACACGCGCTGGGGAACAGGAAAGCCTCAGAGTCACAAACTGTTTTTTATGACCACCCATTACACGTCCAACCACTGCTACAGCTCATGACAACCTTAAAGACCTGTGACTATATGGAAAATTACTATCCCCTTAAGAGACTAAATGGCCTTTATGTGAGGTCCTTTTAGCATCAAGAGCCCTTCAACGAAGTCAGACACCAAACTGCCTTACAGAGTAAGCCACTTGTGAGGGTCTGCCCTGGAAATCCCACCTTAAAGGGTTGTACTAAGACATCAATCTGGGATCACCACTTAGATCTAAGGACAAGCTCGGAAGCCCAAATGACAAAGGGGCACTGACAGATAAGTGGCTGTCTTACGTTTCAGATGCAAAATACTGTTTTGGCTACCACTGACTTCCCAAACTTCCCCGTGAGGAGACCCTGGGATATCACAAGGCTCTGCTGCCACCCCCAAATACAGACGCAGCCTCAGCTGTTAAATGAGACTGGTGGCCTGCCTCATATTAAGAGGGCTCCAGGGTACCGGCTTCTCCCCAGGACCAGGGCCCATGGCACAGACTTCAGAGGTGAAGTGGGTCACAAAAACTCACCATGTCCTGATCCTATACTAGAATTCGGTGGTCAAGCAGCGGGTCTGAGAAGCTGCAGTCTAGAGCTCCTAAGAGGTTTTGGGGATTACTGAAGTACAGTGCTAGGTTACTTGTTCTAGGGCTGGAAGGACGCAGCCTCCAAACAAATATTCCACTTTATATAAACAACAAAGGGGTTCCAGCAGGCAACCTTTTTGGGGGCCAGGGTACTGAGTGAATTCTCAGCAGGATCTGGGACCCAAAACAGGCCAAGAACCTAAGTTCTGTGGCTGACGCAACTACAAAGCCAAATACCAGGTAAAGAGATCTGCTTTATTTGGTTTCATAGGGCCCCGGTAACAGGTAACACATTCTTACAAAGGCCCAACAGGCTCTTCCGCAGACAACAGGAGCTGAATTTTCAGAGTCCGCTGCATGCACCCTATTTCTGCCCCAGCCACTAACCTATCTGACTCCAGCGAAGTCACTCCCTGTGCTGGGAAGAGAGAATGTGTATCTATTACTCTCAGGGACCTTCCTCCACATTTTCTCTGTTAAGAAATCCTCACACATGTCCTCCGTTTTCCTGTTTTTGTTTTTTAACAAACATGAAAACAGCAGAGTTGGAGAGACTTTCAGATAAGAGTTCAACTTATTTTTCAGAAAAGCACAGATCTGGAAACAGAGACCCAGAAAAAGGAAAAGTGACTTGCTAAAATCACGCACAGAAACAGCCTCCTTAAATCTCAGCCTTCTAGAAAGATGCCTTTGTATCAATTCCTGGTCAAGCCTGCGTGATCACGCCAAACCTGCCCTCGGAATACAAAATTCTAGACTGGTATCCTGACCAATCCCTACTTTATTACTACACTGTTTTAAACACAGACCCCTTTTCCCTCCACACCCTCCTCCCCCCAAAACCAGAAGAATGGGTCAGAACTGTAAAGCGCGGGCTCCTGTCTGCTGCTGCCCTGCGGGTGAGGGTGGGCAGCTACGGCAGCAGGATGCAGGGCCGCCCCCTCCTCCCAGGTGGGTTACCTGAGCACAGTCACGCTTCCCCTGCGCACTGGCAGAGAAAGCACCGGTTCCGACACCCGGATAGGCTTGAACTGGAACTTGCAGCCGAAGCAGAGCGCCGAGTCGCTAAAGAAGGACACGGACACGATGGGGCGCTCGAAGATGTGGATGGGGTCCACGTGAGACACGATGCAGCCGCCGGGCTGATAGTCGTTGATGACGGCGCTGTTGACGAAGCCCTCGGGGATGACGCGGTGCTCCACCAGCTTCTGGATCACCAGCTGGTGCACCCACTCGGGGATCTCGTCCACATCGCCCGGCGGGTAGAGGCGCTCCTGGCCAGGCCCGCGCTTCTGCAGCTGGGCACCGTACGTGTAGCCCTCGCCAAAGAAGTACTTGTTGCGCAGCGGGGCCCGGTCCACCGTGTGCTCGTTGTACAGGCCCTTCTCGGCGCGGGACACCACCTCGTCGATGCGGGCCTCGATCTTGGCGCACTCGTCCTGGCTGAAGAGGCGCATCTGGCGAATGCCGCTCTTCACCTTGCGCGCCTCCTCCTCTTTCTGCAGCTGCTGTTCCTCATAGTCGCTGCGCTCGGGGTCCGAGTCCTCCTGGTACTTGCGCTTAGCCCCGGACACCGGGTAAGGCTCGGCGGCGGCGGCGGCAGCGGCAGCGGCGGCTACGGCGGCGGCGGCGGCGGCGGCCGCTGCCTCCCGGCTGCCCGCCTTATAGTTGTCCCGGGACGTCATGGACTTGAGCTTCTCACGCAGGTCCGTGTAACCGCTGGCGGCCGCCATGGCCCCCGCGACGTTGCTCTAGGGTCCTCCGGGGCGGGAGGGGCGGCCGGGCATGGCTCTCGGAGGACGCGCCCCGGCACCCCGGGAGAAAAAGTGTTCCTCAGCGCCAAGCCCCCATGCGAGACCGGGGGACCCGGCGGGGGGCGTCGAGGGACCGGGCGCGGGGTCGGGCCTCAGGGGCGGGGGGTCATGCAGCTGTGGCGGCAACGGGGCTTCCTCCTCCTCCACCTTCTCCACGTCCCAGAGACCAAGGGCGCCGGCAGCGCCTCATGCCGCGGAGGGCCGCCGCGGAAGACCGACCCGACTCCCAGCCAGACCCTCAGACGCCCGGCCCAGCCCGCACTTTAAAGCGTTCCTCACGACGTCACGGGCCGTCCGCCCGACGTCCGCCAGCGGCCGCTCCTCAGCGGGCTCTTCTGCGCGCACGCGCAATGCCGCCGGCCACCGCGGCTCCACGCGCAGCGGGCATGCGCGTGCGTGTAGGCCGGGTCACCGGAGGCGCCGGCGCAAGCGCAGACGGGGACCGCTCGGCGTCCGCCACCCCTCCCCCACTCACTGAAGGGCTCCGAGGGAGCACCCTCAAATAGCAACCTGCCTTCTTGACGCGCCACCTCCGCGACCGAAGGTCTCCCTCCACAGGGGTGCGCTCACGCTGTCAACGCTGTCGCTATGCTGCGTCACGGCATCGTCCAAATGCTCGAAAACGCCTCAGCCCTCAACGCGCAACCACCGGGGAACCGCCACAACCTAGGCTGCCCCGTCACCGCCCCCTTTGGCGTTTCCAGTTCTTTCATTGGGTCACCGGCCACGCGCCGGGCGGGTCCAGACTGCAGCTTCCGGAAGTTGGTTTGCATGCAAGCCTGTCGATCAAGCGGTCGCCTTGGTTACTGCGTCCGTCACTTAATTAGCTGCGTGGAGGGCGTCGAGGACCCCTGAAGGGTGAATGGGTGGCTATGTAAGTGCCCGAATGTAGACGCCAACGGAGAAAAGCCCTCAGACTCCTTAGGAAACTTATGAAACCAGCAGAAACTTTTCAAACTGCGGGGCCGAGACCACCGGGTCCCAGCTCTAAGTCCAAACGGCGACGGCCGCAGAAGCGGGACTCAGGGGGCACCTCCCCGCCCCCCACCCCCGTCGTCCGGAGTGGACGTTCCACGAGTCACGTCCCTGTGGCGGCGGGCGCGTGCGCAGCCGCGGGGGGAGCGCGGGGATTTGGCGTCGGTTTTCCTTCGCGTTAGAGATGGGTATAGGGGCTCCTCTTCGAAACGACAGAAGGAAACTCAAGGGGACAAGTAGACTCACGGTGAAGGCAAAACTATAGCTGATTACCGGGGACGATTCCAAAGTTTTGAAGCCGTGCGGTTGGACAGCGTGCGCGGCGTGGGCAATGGCGTGGCGGTTCCGCGAGGGCCGGGTCCCCAGCCAGGGTTTCTTCTCGAAAACCTCCCGTGGCTCCCGGGATCGAGTTCACCTGCTTTGCTTGGCGTTCCAAGCCTTTGTTTGAGACCTGTCGGGCCTCGACCCCTCTACCCTCCCCGCGAACTCTGAGCGCCAGCGTTGCTCAAACTCTGTCACACCTCCTGGCCTTCGCCCAAGCTGTTTCTTCCTCCTGAAATGCCAGTTCCTTTCCACCCATCTCCTTCATGTTGATTTTTTTGAGCCTCAGCTCACCTCCCTAGCAGCCTTCCCGGACACGCACTGAAATGAGATGGCGTCTTTGATTTCGTGATTTAGCCTCGGCATCTGCCTTTAGCCTCACCTCCCTGGCCATTTTGCTCCCAGCCCATGTGTGTGTCTGCATCTCTCCACGGCCGCCCGCCCCCGACCCCGACCCCCAACTTGCCAAAGCACCAGACTGACAGAGGCTTGAATCTTGGACGGGCCAATGAGCTCTCTGACCCCGGGCCGTGACTTACCCTCTGAACCTCAGTCTGGTGGTCTGTAAAATGGCATAACCTTAGTACCCCATCATTTGGTAGTTGTGAGAACTAAACGAGGTTATGTATGTTAAGCAGAGGGGATTGTACACCTGTAGTCAGGGTCTCAGTTTCCAAACGGAAGGGCCTGCCAGTTGCTGTTGGGAAGTGTGCACTGTGTTGTTGCTGGGCAAGGCAAGGCCGGCAGGGCCTGTTTGATGGGGAATCCTGGACACCTGGCTGGGACTTTAGTGCTGTCCCCAAGCCCTGCTGGGCCACCTTCCTTCCTAAGAAGCAGCAGGTGCAACAGAAAATGCCGCATGCTGGGAGCCTATAGTAAGTTTGGTTTCTGCCCCTTTCTGACACAGCCTAGTGGGGGCGCTGATGGTGGTGGTGGTAGGAAGGCAGCTGCAGGTTGTGAGAAGGTGGCCGGCGGGCAAGGTTGTGGTCAGGCATCCGGGGCTCCTGTTTCAGTAGTGCCTGGGCCATGCTGTGTGAACGCATGGGCAGGGACCCCTTGCCCGCATAATGAGCAATTGGCCCGTGGAGGCTCAGGCCCTTCAGAACCCAGCACCCACCCACCTTTAAACTGCCCTCTAACATGGGGGTGGGGGGCACTGGATTCTGCCCACACACCTGCTTGACAGGGAGGTCACCATCACACAGTCATAAGAAAATCCTTCCGGAGACTCCTTTGCAGAGCCCAACTTCTCTCACCCAGCCAAGGATGAGGATCACCTCTTTTCTGGGTCTCAACAACCCCTCCCATCCCAGACCCCTCATCGTAAGCTTCCTCATGCTCCTTTCTGATTCTTCTGGAGCTAGGGCCCTCCCTTCTCTGAGCCTCAGTGAGAGACAGCCACCAACTCTGGAGCCAGCCTGCCTGTGTTCGAATCTTGCCTAGGCCACTTAGTGATTACCTGCTTCATCTCTGTGGGCCTCAGTTTTCCCATCTATGAAACAGTGATAATAGTACCCACCTCACTGGGGTACTTGACGGTTAAGTGCATCAGTGTATGTAAAATGCCTGGTGCAGAGTAAAAACTTGGTAAGAATTAGCTTTTTAAAGGAAAAAATGTCTTCCCCACCCCCACTCCGGACATGCATTTGTATCCTATGCTGGACATAATAATGACCCCTTAGGAAATATTTGCTCTAACACCTCTGTCAGTGCTTCCCGTTTACAAAAAAGGAAGCAGAGGCTCAGAGGGGGCAAGAGGCAAAAGGCCACACAGCTAATCAGGAAACGTGGAATTTGAACACAGTCCTCTCTGGCTCCACCGCGAAGATTCTCTTAATAGGCTTGTGGGTTCTGGGCAGCAGGTGGCACCCCCAGGCAGGGGGAACCAGTAAGGAGAGTATATGGACACCGGAACCTGCAAAGTCTAGCCACTTGTCCCACACAGGGGATGCAGTGAAGTCCTTCTGGTTACTTTTTGGTGCCCAAATATGGTGCCTCCTGCCATACCCATCTGGGACCTTAAGCCTGTACCAGTTGATTGTCTCGGGCTCCCGGGCCACCTAGACCTTCTGTATGGTTCTCACCACACGCTCAGCTGGGAACCCTAAGGCTTGCTCCCTTCTGCTCTGGATCTCCCCACACTTACCTGGAGTTCCTTTCTAGGGCCTGGTCCAGGTAGAAGGACCCAGTGTCATACCCCTACGGTGCCTGAGGGACACAGCAGGGTCTGACTTTCCTGTCACCCCTGACTCTCCTCTCTGCCTTATGGGGATTGTGACCTCCTTTTACGGGGCTTGAATTGATAGGTACTGAAATCCCCAAAGCTCTGGTGTTTGGGTTGTCCAATGCTATGTATAGCAAACTACCCCCAAAACTTAGCCTTCGGTCACCTTTCCAGCTCAGATCTGCAGCCCAGCCAGGGGTGGGCTAAAGGCTCCTCTCGGTTCCATGCGCATTAGCGGGGCCGCTCAACCTCAAGGAGCCGCTTCCAAGGGGCCATGTTCACACGGCCCACCTGGATTCTGAAACCCAGAAAGCCTCTCACCTCTCACCTGGGCGGAGTAATGGCAGCAGGGGTAGCCTGATGGATAACGCACTCTTTCCAGCCCCTTTCCACTTCCCTCACCTCCCAAATCAGCTACATGCGCTGGACTGGCTTTGGGGGAAGCCAGCCTGACAGTGCTACAAGTGGGACAGCCCCGTGGCATATGAAGGGCTCTTCGTTGAACTTCCTTGTCTCAGGACAGCCTGACTGATCTCCTCGAGATTCCAACTTCTCCCCGCCTGTCACCACCACCAGTGTCCACACCACAGAGTTCCCTGGCTGACACGACAGCAGCCCCCACTTTGGTCTCTCTGGCCCCTACGTTCTCTCTGCTCTGTGGTCCGAATGAAGTCTGATCTGAGCAGATTACCCCCTCTCCCACCGAAAAACCTTAAAGGCTCCTCATCACTCTTGGGATGAAATCCTAAATCCTTAGCGTAGCCTGCAAGCCTGACTCCAGCCACCCACGCTGGCCTCTTCGGTCTCAAGTCTTCCATGAGTAATGTCCACATGCTGTTCCCTCCCCTCCTCACCTGCCTAAGTCCCACTCACAGACCTTGTCATGGATTGTAGCCATTTCACTGTGAGCAAGTCCCAGGGCTTGGCATTTGCCAAGTACACAGCAGGTGCTTAATAGGTACCGAATGAGTAAATACATTGGTCCTCAGGCACCATGGCTCCAGCCCTCACATAGCTATCCAGCCTTCTTCTCACAAGCCTAGTGCTTCTGTCCTCCCCAAGTTCCCCAAAGCACCAACACTTTCCATCAACATTTATTTATTCTTTTATCCATGTAACAAATGCTTAAGCGCCCACTCTGTGATAGGCATTGTCCTAGGCTCTGGGGCGATAACAGTAGAGAACGAACACTGTTTTCTCTGTTTGGAACGTTCATTCACCTTCCTTCCATCTATTCCTAGCAAACGTCCACCCATCCTTCAAAACCCAACACCAATGTTCCCTTCTCTAAGGAAGCCGTTCCCAGACTTCTTCCTCCCCAGACTCTGATGTGAAACTTCTCCCTCCCACCACTATACCCGTCTCAAACCTTGCATAAGCCATCCAGTGATGGGGGCCTGGTGTCGAGGCCACCTAAGGAGTGTGGAGTTGGGGGACAGGGGTCTGCAGGGAGAGGTAGGGACAGGTCTCTGCTAGAAGCTGTAATCACAGGCAGTGAGTCAGGGGCCCAGCTGGGCCTCCAGTTCCTGCCTCCTCCCTTAGACTGCTTTTCCAGCTACTCAGCAACAGCATGGGGTGGTGGTGGGGGGAGAGGAATGGCTGCCAGGCACATCTTTTATGTGCACAGACATGACCAAGAGTCCCAAATCCCAGCTGATCAGCAGTGCACGGAGCACTCAAGGAGGACACGTAAGGGGCTGAGATATGGGGCTGGGGCAGACTTGAACATCAGACCTGGGGCGCCTGGGTGGCTCAGTGGGTTAAGCCTCTGCCTTCGGCTCAGGTCATGATCCCAGGGTCATGGGATTGAGCCCCGCATTGGACTCTGCTGAGCAGGGGGCCTGCTTCCCTTCCTCTCTCTCTGCCTGCCTCTCTGCCTACTTGTGACTCTGTCTGTCAAATAAATAAAATCTTAAAAAAAGAAAATCAGACCTGCGGTAAACCAAATTCACAGTACAGTTTGACTAGGCCATTGGTGTGGGGCTTCTCTGCCATGGGGGTGAGTCGGGGCCAGGCCCATACGGGGTATGTGACTCCAGTCCCCATGGGCCAGCCTTTGGAAGTTCTTCCTGTTATCTGACCCAAGTTTACACGCTGCAATTCCATCCCAGTTGTGGATCTGTCTTCTTGTGTTCCCAGGGACTTAGGCCATTTGTCCTACCCAACCTTGGTCTCTGCACCA